ATAGGAGGGAAGTGTGTGACAGATCATCGAAGCGAGTAACCAGTTGTCCCATGAATCGAAATCCCTCTTGTCATCCAAACGGTACCTTGACTTGCTCATGATGTCTCATGCGCAAACCGCTGCCTGGCAGTGGTCTTTGCTTCGGTGTGGTTTGTCTTGGCTCTTCCGCTTTAATTCGTTCCAGTCTTCTCGTCTCTGGTGTTTTCTTCTCTTTTGCTCTCGCTCTCGCTCTGGGATGCTGGTCCAGCCAGCAAAAGTGCCCGCACATCAAATGATGGCTCATTCTTTCTGGGCCCACCTCCGGGAGCTAGCACCCCTTCCAGCCACTCTACTTATGCCTCTTGCCTTCGCCGCACGGCGAAGCAACCCTGAGTCGCTCGTGCCTCCTCCACCCATTCCCTGCATGCCACCGAAGTCGAGGCCAAACCTGCAGCGTCTGTTCTGTGCGTCTCTACAAAAACCCCGGCCAAAGGGCCCGAGTCTCCCCAACCCAGATGCCAAACCGGCTTGTCCTGTGGTCCATGTGCCCTCTGGAATCAGTCTTCTCAACTTGGGTTTGTCGGAGGTTGCTACGAGCTCGGACTCGAGGAAATTCGCCTATTCCCTTTTCCCCTAATTCACAACCCATGCAGCTGCACTGACCACCCAACGCCGACAAACGAAAGCGTGCGCAAGGGCCGGGCATGCTCCCGAGATCGCCGAAGCCGCCCATGTCCATTTTGAAGCCTGCACTGCAAGAATGCTTTGAGAAAGAAGAACACTCGAGGCAGCGATACAAGAAAAAACAACGAAAGCAGGTACGTAGCACCGGTCTCGCCGGTAAAACAGGCGAGAAGTTTAAAGCAACGTAATTCCGAGCTAAATTGTTCTGAGTAAATAGCAACCTGGTACTGCCAGCCAGAAACTGCAATTCTGGTCGAACAACCCTTTGGTCGGGAAATACGGCTGAAAGTGCAAGAGCTACTGACATTTCAGACCTTTGGCAATCACAACCCTTTGATGCCGTGAGTATACCACGATGGAAAAACCAATGGACAAACGAAACAACAGAAGCGCGCGACAGCTTGAAGATCTGCGCACAGCACCAGGTTCGAATCTCGGACATGCCTCCGTCAAAGAAGTCGCCCCCGCCACTCTTGCCTGGCTTTGCCAGGCAATGGCCATTTTCTCTTCGCTTCTGTTGTTCGTTTTGGAAGTCTCGATGCTGTGGGCTTCCAGAACTGCGGCTGGAGAAAACAGGCTGCCTGCACCTTTGGCATGTGCTCGGCCCTCGAAAGCCTGGCATTTTGTTCGGGGGGGGCGGGGTGTTTACGCTTTGCGGGCACATCCCTGACTCTTCTTTCTGATCTTTTCCGTCATCGTAAAGTCGTAAAGATCTTGTGAACCTGTGCCATGACTGCTGTGGGCCAGAGATCCAGCATGACAGAGTTTCTTCGGGCCCTGGCCATGGCCAGTTGGCTAACCCATCCCTTCGGGCTCCGGTTGGGGCCTTCTGGAAAGGATCTCCGAGGTCTTCGAAGGTCGTCTGCACCTCAGATCTCCGACACTCTCAGAACGCGAGCGCGAGCCTCTGAGTCTCGAAGTATTCTGACTCGCTCCGATGACTCGGGATATTCTGGGCCTTGGTGATGCAAAAAACCGGTGGCAAAAGTTTCCCGTCTCGTTGTGCCAGGCACGTACGCTCTTGCCGCTGCGGAGGGTCCATTCCACGGCGGTGGGGTTGGGAGGGGTGGGGGAGAAGGGGGTAATTGCTTGCCGAAGTGCCGAATCCTATGGTATTTGCAGTGTTTTCTACACCTGCGGACTGCTCCTGCGTGTTGCCCTTCCGCGCTTTCCCTTGCTGGAATGTGTCTATTTACTTGGGTTTTTGCGCATCAAGAGGCGAAACACATACGGTGTTTTTGCTCCTGTGTCGGCATGTTACTTTGCCCGTGTGGGGTGGGCGGGTGGGGGGGTTATGAACCAGTACTCACATCCTTATGACAGGGTGTGCTTCTGCGCTGTGCGGCTGTAAAAATAAAAAACGAGCACGGGTTTTGCATCCCACTAGTGAATTCAAAATTCCCGTTCTTGTGAAATTTCTGTTACACATATGCCTCAGGATATATATATATATATAAAGTCGGGGAGATTTTCGAACGATTGAAGTCTGCAGTCTGAACTGCATCAGTGTCCCCAAAGCCTCATTCACCTTGACAGTCTGCTGGGAAAGGGCCATGTTGTAAATGGGAAAAGCCGCCATCTTCAAGCCCAAATCCTCAATCCTTAACCTAAGCCGTAAACCCTAGACCTTTTAACCCCCAACCTCAACCCTAAACCTTCAGCCAGAAAAAACGCCAGACTCTGAAGTGGAAGGACGTCTCCCCCTTAAATAAGAATCAAAAGCAACTTTTCGCCTACTTTCTTCTTTTACACATTTTCGCACCGCGCTGTCGTCTGCCAGGCACGCTCTCCTCAAAATCCACACTTTGGCCAATGCCATGAATCCCCACGCAGGCCGATGAATTCCTGCTTTTTCTCTATGGATGTTGTGTCTTCAACCAAGTGTAGCACCTAAACACAAATCTGTCAAATATGCCTGTTAACCCACGCCTGCCACACTTTTCTATGCATGCCAATGTGGCCACGTTTCATGCAACATCTCGAATTCACTGCGCCTGCCAGTGCTTTCACCAATTCCGCATTCATCTGTGTTCGATGTCCTTCCAAACACAATCGCTACACCTTCCGCGGCGGCGAAAGGCGCGCATGCCTTGTTCCAGGCCAGTCCGAAGCCCAGCAGAGCACACGGTGCAGGCTCTTCAGCGCAGCAGAAATCCAAGGAGGTTCGTGTCAGCTCTGGTTCTATTGATCCTCCGCGGCTTTGTTTGGAAACCTACGCCTCCTCACAGCGAAGGCCCAGCTCGTTCAGACGTTAAACATGCAGCCTGCTGCTTGTGCATGTGCTGATGGGAAAGCCTTCAGGGCGTGCTCGCCCTTGTCGCAAGTGATCAGCAGCTTGCAACTGCAAAAATTTTGTCGCTGAGAAGAGCACACCCTGTACGTCGCGAAATGTATGGCGACACAGACCATTGACAGACCATCGCGACAAGTCTTTCATGGTGGTTCGGTTCTCAGGACAGGGCATCGTCGAAGAACTTGTGGAAGTCTGCAAACGGGTCCTCACTGCCGAACATCTCCTTGAAGAGATCCTCACCCGCGCAGGAGGCTTCGTGAAATCTTAATCGACAGGCGCAGAGCAAGCAAAGATCACGGATCACACGACTCGAAGACATGTCACGTTTAAAAAACCTCTGCTTGGGCTTGCAAGCGCCCGGCCTTGAGCAAGTCTTCATATCGTCTGGCTTTTCTGCACCACTCGCAAATGAAAAACTGCCAAGAACCCCAAATACACCATTCAGCAGTTGAATCATCCGGTCGAAGGTCCTTGGGATCCTTGAAGCCGAAATCGAACCTCCCCAAATGCGAGGCTTCTGCGCTTCCGCACACTCGTGGGGAGGCACTAGGTAGACAGTCACCATTGCAAATAGGGGCCATCTTGATGTGGCAGACACCCTTCCTAGACAAGCTTCACAAGGTAAGTGCAGCGGGAAACCCTCCGAAGTCGAAGTTCATGCCGCCAGCACCACCGCCACCAGCGTCGTACGTCCTCACCGTGGGCTTCAGAACGGAACCTTCAAGAACCCTTCTGCATGTAATAATATAAACGTAGAGGCCCAAAAGTGCGAATGCAAGACCACGAGCAACACAGAAGTGCATTTCTGCTGCCCTGTCCTCCGCCTCTCCGGATCGGATAAGACCTGCCAGCAGAGGTTTCAGATCTGGAAAATTCAGGTCGGTGAGGTCGGCGTCACGAAGGCTGAAGGCAGAGATCGAAGCGCTGTTTCCGGTTTCGACATAGCATCATACGAAAAACGGCGAACAAGAGCTTCCGATGTGTCATGCGTGGTTTTGCTCAGCGTCTGTTTCCATCAAGTCAAGTAAGAAGCAGTGTAAGGTGGCGAACTGACATTGATCTGTTCTACCCTGATGGTATCTGACGGGCCTCTGGCCAGTCCTAAGTAAGGGCGTAGTGGCGCAGCATGGCATAGCGTCCATAGATCCAAAGGTTTGATGTGTTCCATTCGGTGACATGTCTTCCAAAAGCTGAAGCAAGCGGCCCACACTTTTCTGGGTTAGCACCCTCGATGTCACAGGGTAGAATCACCATAAGTGCGAGCTCGAGCTAAATCGAAGAGAGATCTGAAACAATCCCATGTCCGGGCAAAATGGCCTCGTAAGCCTCAGCTATCTCCCGGAAGCGGCGCTCTGCTTCCTGCAAGTGCTGGGTGCGAAGCATGGCCTGAGGTCGTTCTGCACTTGACCCTACAGGTAGATTTACAAGCTGATACATCTGGTTCCTCCACATGTAACCCAGTAAATTTGCCTGTCTGGCCACAATCACTCAAAGACACCCCAAACCAGTCAAGGCAGGGCTGCAGAGCTTTGGCCACGCGTTTAGGAGTCAAAGGGTCTCTACCCGCATGCTCCGTAATCATCTTTGAAACTTCTCGTGGGAGCTTGCTTCCGAGCAGAGCGTGCTTGGCATTCCGCTCGGATCCGACGTAGTCTGTACACTGTACTGAGCACAGCTGACACTGTGTACCAGTGTCGAAGTGGCAACATGTCAGCCTGCTCTTCCGATCTTGCTGCTAGACACTCTCGGTTGACATTTGAGCTCCCTTTCAACAAGGCGGCCCCATCGGAAAGCTGCAGACCAGTTCGACATGATGCAAAGTTCGGCTTGGGAGTGGCTGCGGTTTGGCGTGCGCCAGACAACTGGGCAGATCAACAGTCCCAACAGCTACCTCCGAAAATTCAGGAAGCAAGCCTGTGTGTATTCCCGCGGTATGTCAGAAAGAATACAAGAGGTTCGAAATGGTTCTGTCAACATGACGACCATTCTTCCGACATACCCCTTTGAAATTGTCGCAAAAACATGCCTCTAAAGTTCGGCATGGTCAAATCTCCATCTCAAGATCACTCTTGCCCAAGTCCTCCCTTGTCTTGGTGGTCCGGATGTGCTTGAAGGCGGAGTTGTTGAAAACGTCCTCCAGTGGATACAGTGATGCTTGTGTGTGTGTGTATGTTGAAGCTAGATGAAAGGCAGCGGATGCGAAAGGAGGAGGCTGTCGAAATCCGAAACCCCGGCAAAGAATTGAATTTCCAGCTAAACTGTCAATGCTTCAGACCGCGATGGCCTCATATCCACATATGTTCCTGGTACCTTCGCTCCCCCGGCCCTTGAAAAAACAAAGAACCTGCACAAAGAGCAGTTCAAAGGAAGTCCTGCACCACACTGGTCACCTTCTCCATCGGACTCGAAACTGCAAAGAGACAGACGGCTCAGGAACACTCCGGGTGCGAGCTACCAAAACTCCTTCAGGAACACAACAACACGTGACGCCCCTGGTTCCTTGAAGGACCCCGTATGGGCTCAGCGGCACTAGAGTGCCCAAAACTGCCTATCATGACACCACAATGACGGCCGCTGCTGTTGTATTAGAACACCAGGCATCACAATCTGCGCTAAGCACCAGCCCAAAAGCCGCATTCGGCAGGGAGTTGACCTAGCCGCAGCCTTTTGTCGCCTGACCTTGCCTTGATTCGATCCTCGACTCTGCACAAACCGGCCGCGCATATCTCAAGTCTTTGTTACGTACTGGATCTCTGCCCGCACTCCTGACACATCGCAATTCTGCCCCAAGCGACAGAGAGTCCAAAGCCTCGCGACTTTGTTCAGCCGCAGCTAATGCTCTGGGGTCATGGACAAAAGTGATTACAGACCTCTGATATCTGGAGTACTGCACGAAGTCTTTATGAAGACCTGAGTAGGCCCAGTAGCCTGCCTTGGGTTTCCACCACGTCGCGCAGGGACGTTACATCTGTATGCCTCGGAGATGGGAGTTTGAAGCTGGATTGTAGGATGCAAAGATCTGTTCATAGCCCAACGCTGCCTTTTCCGGCCTTTTGCGTCCCAAGACCGCGAGACGCGCCAGCGCTGGTTGATTGCAAGAGGGCTTGGCGACTTGATTGCTGAAGCGTTCAGGGCAAGTTCTTTTGCTCGGTTCTTTAGCCAACCGAGACAATGCTCATTCACTATTCTCATGAAGCGCCTGCCAACCCACGCGTGCCAAGGACCTGAATACCGTCTGAACTTCTGACGAGCTGCAGCGCTGCTGAGTCACTGCTGAGACAATCAAATGTTATCCTCATATCCCCAAAGCCGGATGATCCCCGAAGAAGCTTCCTTGCCCCCTCAACGAGCAGCACCTGAGATGAAACGTGTCCAGCCAAGCTGCGTGGACAGTATCTTCAACACCTCTTCGAAAAGCACCTGGCGAGCAGTGAGAAGAGGTGAAGCCAAACTCTGCAAGCTGCGACGTGCTGCGATTTTATACGGTATGTGGATCACGGTATAAGTGCACACAAGGCTAGAGGCAGCAGGATGCAAGGGTCTAGGTAGATTCGCTGTTTGCCGTACTTGTACGAACAGGCTTTCAGAAGACATTCGAGCTCACCTACCATCCACCACTACTCGCTGCCCGTGACAAGCGATACTCCTCCAAGTCGGCCATTTGAAGCTCGCGCGTAAAACTGGTGCCCTGGCCCTCGCCTCAATCTTCGTCTCCATGCGCCAGATGTCCAAAGCCTCAGAGCTCATTGCAAAAACCTTCGCGAAGCGCTAAGAACACCGAGCCCGAGCTCATCACCACATAGGGGTTTCCGAAAATAGGGGACCCTATTATAGTGCCCTAAATAGTAGGATCCTGTTTATAAGGATCCCCAAATAAGGTACCCCTAATTTTCGGAAAGTCCCACATCCCTCAAGTCCCTAAAGCAAACAGTCGGCCGGGCGGCCTTGGCGGTCCCACGCAGACGCCCAGCACCCTCAATGAACTCGGCCAGCCTCGGAAAAAGCTGCAGAAAAAACTGCACAGCAGGCCTCTCAAGTTTAGGGTTTAGGGTTTAGGGTTTAGGGTTTAGGGTTTAGGGTTTAGGGTTTAGGGTTTCAATACCGAGAAGTGTAGCCAGGTTAAAGAAGGTAGTGGATGCCTCCTTTGCTCTCGCAGCTAAGCTGAATGCCAAAAGCCGACCTCGTGAACATCCCGATCCGCAAAGGCTATCTCATCGCAAAGGAACGTGATGTTGCCATCTCCATTGTCCAGAAACTCCTTGGTGAGGGAGGCCGACTGCCCGAACTCTTCCTTCAAACTGGTTCTACCTAGACTTAAAGACCAAAAACGATCCAAGCAAAGGCAAAGCAATACGGTGCTGCAGAACCCAGCTTCGAAGAGGCTCATCAAGTCATGGTACTCCAGCCTCACATCACAGCTCGACTCCGACGGGGGTTGGGGTTCTCAGGGCATGCCTTCGCGCGAGGGGAACATGTGGAATGTAGATACGCGAGCTCTACAGCTCTCATGAGACATCAACAGATTCGACGCCGAACTTAACAGTGAAGAGTCTGTCGACTTGGCAACCTTCGAAAGCAACATTCCGGCAAGGCGATCTTAGCTTCGAGGTCAGCCCAGCTTGCTGCCTCAAGGCCGACGGATGCAGCCCAAGCCACTCCAGCTGTGCCATCCAGAAGCGCAGCTTCGGTGACTGGACCAATTTCTCAAACTCCTCGAAAGACAGGGCTGCTTGGAATGTCGCGACATCGGAAGGGGAAGCTCTCCTCCAAGTTGATGTTGCCGTCTCCCGAACTGTCGATCGACTGGAAGAGCTTCTTCACCTACGGAAAACAGGGCCCGGAAACTGCTACGACCGAAGCTTTAGCTCCAGGCCTTGCGATTGTACAGCATAATGTCCTTCTCCTCTCAGGGCTTCACACAAACTTGGCGGCGACCCGTGCTCTCCCCGGTCCAGGCACGAACCCCTTCTCAATGTGGTGCAGTTCGAAGGGGCATGCAGATATGCATGACGAGAGATTGAATTTGGATTAAATTTCTCAGGTACCCTTCAGGGACAAAGCCAAAGATTACCGATTAGCACCATCACATCGTGTTTCGGAGTAGCCCGGTCCTTCTGACGGAAAGCAAGCTCTTCATCAGACGAAGCGGTTTTCATCGTTTGCTGAATGAACACGGCAGACACCTCGGCCGGGTGCCAGACCGGAAACAAAGGACCGTGAAGGAAAGCTCTCCCCGGTGCTCTCAAGAACTCGGTATGGCCGGCGAGTGGTAAACTTCAGAAGACAGCTGCAGCTGCAGACATCAGATCCTGTTAGCTCAAGCAGCTACGATGCATCCTCCCTGAAGGCCTGTGCCTATGGCGAGCTCTCGCTTGAAGCCACGGGGCGACGTTCAGCACGGCGAAGCCAAAAATGCAGCCTGTATCTGCTCAAAACTCCAGCATGACGGCCCAAAGTTGATCAACTAACTGACCCTCTACCCACAGAAGTAGTGAAGAACAGCAGCGGTAGACCAGGAAGAAGACGGTGAACCACTCGCTGATATTGTCGACGAGAACGCGACACGACCTCAAACTCAGTTCGAAAAGAAGCCAAAAGAACTCGGGGTGTTGGAAGACCAGTATAAACCAGTAGCCAACCATGCTTCAAGGTCCAGCCAAGCCGCGGGGCCCAGTTTGCGAACATTATCTCAAATGTCGTCAAGTAAGTACGAGTGAAAGTGCCATAATATCTGAATACTTCTTCTTTCGCTTGCACCGGAGCTGCACTATCGTGCAAGAGGTAGTTCTCCACAAGCAAGCCGAGGAATATTGCGGCCATGAACTGCAACACAGCGAGCAGCATAAAGGACCAGGTCAACATGCCCTTGCTGGCGATCAAACATTTCACCAAGAGCTGCAGATTGGTGAATTGAACCGTCTCCTTGATCAGCCTTGCGGCTCGAGAGATTCTGGCAACGAAGAACACATGTACGAAGGAAGTATCACGAGAAGGCGTGCCCTCGAGCACCAGCCACGTGATCTCCACGATGCACATGATACCAACTGCCGCATCCACTAAATTCAGCCAGCTTCGCCTCAAGAGAACATCGCTAGCCTTGACCCCAGTCATGTGTCTGCATCCCTACAGAAATGCAAAGCCAAGATACCAAAACCTGCGTCTTAGTATGGCCGCCCGCAATAGGAAGTCCATCAGGAACAGGCTGGCAAAGCCGCCATCCCCAACCTCTCTTTCACGGTCAGGAGGTGTGCGCTACGTAACCTTCCGGATTCGGAAAGAGCTCCCTTCAAATACTGACAGCAGTGGGATAAATCATCATGAAGCATCTGAGAACAACAGAATCAAACCAGAAGTGCGACAAGGATGGTAGCTCGAAGCATTGTCTGGTCGCACCGTCGTGTGCCAAGGCAGCCCAGCTACTTTCAGCAGGGTGTTCCAAGCATCTGCGCTGATGTCGACACTCCCAGGACTCAAGCCAAGCCTGTGGTATCGCTGTGGGGACGGTATCAGCATTTTCAACAGACCACGCGTGATGGCTTAGGATATCTAGTTCCTTGATGCATGGCTCTCCGACGGGAATGTAGCCAGAAAGGTGGCTCACCACGACCCAGCCTTTCAGCATTGGTGCTTGCCCTGAACTTGCACGCTAACACTAACATGACACGTTTCAAGGCAGTACGATTCGAACGATGCTCGGTGATGCTCGTTCCTGCGGGCACGGCGAAAGCTGTACTGGTGCATATCTACATGCTTGCGTTGGTGCTTCAGGACGATTCGCAGATGATCAGCGAGAGTCCTTTCCCAAGTTTGCCGATGGATTCCTACGAGTAGCGAGATGAGCACTCCGTGCTTCAGTCCTGAGAGCCCCAAGTAGCCGAGAGGCTGGTAGGCGGCAATATGGCCCCAGATTTGCAGGGTACATGCCCTCCACAGAAGGTTTGCCAAGAGCAGCAACGAAGCACAAGCCTTAGTTTCACGCTGGGTGGAGAGATGTGCCCGGACTCGAATCGAATCTTCCCGAGAACCCTGACTGTTTCTCAGCCAGCACACAGCGTAGGCTGACGATTCGCAACGGTCACGAAGCCATTCCTGGACGAGATGCTTTGGCCTACTGCGCTCATTTTGCACAGGCTAGCAGATCTGCAAATGACCTCACCATGCCGAGACTTCGAAAACGAAGGTTAATCTCAGGCCCGGCGTGAAAACAGCTATTGGGCTATTGGCTTGGGCTTGGCTGCCAAATTCTCAGTGCACAGCGCAACTTCAAGCATCCCTCATACATGTGCTTGGCGGCCCCAAACCCGGTCTGAGTTTGCCAAGCGGCGCATCCAGACATCTTCACTTGTTCCGTCGTTCTCGCTCTCGGGTTCGCCCTGGGCCGGTACCTGGGATGCCGGCTCATGCTTGCAACCTGGAGGGGGATAGCTCCGGATGACCTCTGCCTGAATTCACTAGGTTTTTGTCGTGATGTCCTAAGCTGCGTGTTGCTCTGCAGTGGGATTTTCTCTTCTTAGCCAACATTGCAGGGACAGCACGATGCAGGACTCACTTGCAGCACGGCGGGCGTCTTTTTGCATGTTGCAACCCGGTTTCAACTCCAGTGGCTGAACAAGGTCTACTCACACGGCATCCACTGACAACCGAAATCTCTGTCAAGTTGAGGGGTCCCTGATCTTTGGAAGCCCCGTAGGTGCACGGTCATGAGTGGTGCCGAGGCGCCCAGATGAGATTCGGGCCTCCACTTCCAGCAAGGAGTCATCCTCCGACTCCTCGAAAGGAGGCAATACGGTTTGTCACTTGGCCTCCTCTCTTCGGGGGATGCCTGCGCTCTCATCTCTGAAGCACCCCGCTTCTGTCGCCCCCGTTTTGCCAACGGGTCAAGTCTTGTAGCAAATCCGTGTGCAAAGCCGAAACGGAGACATGACAGGCTCCTCGCCGAAACAAGCCTTTGCTCTCGACTGGACTTCGAGGAGTCTGGGAATGGCAAGAAAAGGCAAGTGCAGCTCCTGCCGCTCCCAGGCTTCGAGGATCATGTTGGCGTTGACCCGAGCCTGGGGGTTTTTCAAGTGAAACACCGGCAACGCGGCAGCGCGGCCACGCGGACATAGCTCTTTCTGCCGCGAGGAGGCCCCATTCGAGCACTGCCGTCGCCTGGACTGCGAGATGTTCGAGGCGTTCGACAGCGGGGACCTCGGAGAGCACCCGCCGTCCGCCCCCCAGATCCGGGGAGAGTCGGCATGTCACACTCTGCGCCACAGGAGAAAAGCCAGAGAGAGAGATAGGGAAGGAAGGAAGAAGAGAGAGAGGAAGAGCAGAGTGGACTGTTTGGGAGCCGCCGAGCCACAGCATGCGCTCCATGGCCTGACGAGACGAGAGGAGGAAGGAGTGAACTGTAGACTCAGTAGGGCCACGGGCTAGGTTCCAGGTTCTGAGGGCTACTACGGAGTACTCAAAGAAGTTTAGGTTTGGGGCTTAAGGTTTTGGAATCAGATTTCGTCACACTTCTTTGGCAGGTAGTTCCTAAGGGGGACACAGCTAGCATCGCCTGTTGCAAAGGGATCAAAACGGACTGGAAGCCCCTCGAGTTCTTCCTTGCAAGACATTGCTGGAGGTTTGTCATGTGGGTGGTTGTCAAAATTAGGGTCCCTTTTTGGGTACCCTAGATATTGGGTGCCGTATTATATTAGGGACCCAACAAGGGACCATAATTTTGACAACCACCCATGTAAGGGCCTGCAGTATTAAAAATCGGACGACCCTACTACAATACATCATATACTATGACTGCAAAGATATTATCAAGGAAAATGCCTGCTAATTACCACTGGATTTTCAGCTCATAGGGATTGGAGACTGTCGATCCCAAACAGTATTGGACTGTATGGGGTCGTCTAGTTCATCCTCAAGTCTGTGAGATCAATGACTCCAACGAGATGAGATTGGACGTCCGAGTTATTCCGTTTCCGAACGATGCTCTGGAGATCTCCCAACGCATCTGCTTGTTCGATAAAACTCTTCAGAGAAAACAGCAGCAACAGCACCGTCGGTCAAATCGGCACGGCCAGTACCCCAACTAGGCATCCATCCAATCCTCCCACCTGGTTGCCAAAGTTCAGGGTATCTTTCGAAGCCAAGCCAAAGTCTGCAGATGCCCTCAGATTTACAAGCAGGCTAGTAGCACCTTCACAGGTTTGAACTCGCACTGTGGTACCGCGAAGCTTCACAGCCCCTTCGTAGCCAAACAGCAGCTAAGGACATTCAGACAGGACGGGCACACCTTGCGACGCTTGAGTCGACGGAACGTGCTGCGAAGAACCCTGCAAATCGTTTTCCCTCTGCCGCGGGGTAAGGCCATATCAGGCAAGGACAGTTCAAGTACCCGGAACTTCTATTAGCACAGTGATAACACAGTATCCAGCATCCCGAAACAAACCATAAGCCCGAAGTTTGCGCCTGAATCCCCCGGAACGAGACATGCCGTCCCCACTCTGAACCAAGTCCCTTTGGCCCACTCGGCAAGCGTCATATGCACTGGAGGACCCGAGGATGTAGGAGTCCGAGCACGTGCTTCTTGAAGCTCTCGAGCCTCTGACTCAAAGGCAGAGTCGGCAGAGCAGAGCACAGCGACGACAGCGACGAGTCGAGGAAGGTGAAAAAGGAACGGGTCGGGCATGCGGCACACGGTGCCTTGCGCTACAAGTAAACGTCTCCGGAAGCGCACGAGCTCCGTTAAATGGGGGATTTGGAAGCAGACTGCATGTGGTCAAAGCTCGAACCTTCAAGGAGTACTGGACTTCAGCCACGGGTCGTGCTGCTGGACCAGCTTGTCAACAAGCTGTTGGAACTCGGAGGTCTCCACCACTGTGCGAAGTGCCCTGCCGAGGTGTTGGAGCTCGACATTCTACGCTTCATCTCCGCATCATGCCAAACGCAAACGGTGGCAACGGAAGGAAGTCCTGTGACAGCTTCCGATCCGTGCCCGCCTGGGAAGCTCGACTGGCAAGTCGGAGGCGTCCTTCAAAGGCAGAAGGCAGACTGCAAATTATCCCGCCATCTGCCGTCAACATGTGCTTCTGGAACCCTGGCCTGAGCTCAAGACACCCGACCTCATTGAAGATGCGGTCGGCATGTTTACTGCGTGAGCGTAGTTCGTGTGATATATCTCGTCAGCGAGTTGCCGGTAACAAACCAAACTACCGAAAAGGAAAATGGCGTGAATCTGTTTCATACTACTCCGGATCAACAGGTTAATGAACACCAGCATTCCGACAGCAACGGGCCTAGCGTGTCCATAAACGCCCTCTGCAACCTCTACACTGCGCATTCTGAGTTGTAATCGTCAGGCCTGCTGGGTGTGATCCTCCTCAGGGTTAAGGCCGCTTTCAAGGCAAACGTGTAGGCACCCGTGTCTGTTTTCTTCGGTTAGCCAACATGGCCAATCATGCCAGCTTGACGCAGTTCATCGGCACTTGGCTCCAAGCACTTCGCAGAACTGGCAGATACCTCCATTTAGGGCCTCGTGACTGTGAAGCCGCCGTTTGGTTGATGGGGCCAAACCTTCCGAAGGCTTGCAAGCTCTTGGCTTCGGCCCGCTCCACTCCGCTCCGCTCTGCTGGGTTTCGGAGATTCTGACCTTGCAAGCGCAGAAGGCCCGTTTCTGATTCTGATCGGCCAGCCGCCTTCTTTTCAGGTCCCCAAATCTTTGCAAGTCTTCGGCACTTGCGCGGGAAGTCAGCTGCAGTCCTCGGGGACCGCGGCCAAGACGTCGGGTTTGAGACCTCCAAGGACAGGAGAGCAAGAGCAATCCGCGCAAAACCATGCCCATTATCTCGAGGAAATCCGAGGATTCGAAGGATTTAGAGCCTGGCCTGGCGAGCCCGGCTTCTCCTGCTTCACTGCTGCCAGTGGCCGAGCGGGGCCGCCAAGAGGCCGAGCTAAGGTGCTCATGGCTTCGCCTACTTCGCCTACTTCGTCTACTTCGTCTACTTTGTCTACTTTTTGCTTCGGTTGGGGGGCTGTGGGCTGTCTCTCTTGCCTTAGAGTCGGAAGTGCCGAATTCGTTTGGGAGCTGGGAAGATCGAGTTCTTCACGCTGCGAGGGAAGGGCATTGGATTTTTACTGCATGTGTGGCAAGCAAGCCAAAGGCAAGGCATTTCAGCAAACTAGAAAGAGGCATCCCCTCCGTCCAAGCAAGAAAACTGCCCCTTACTCCCGTGGCCGACACGGTGTTCTTCGTCTTCGTCTGAGTGTTTCTTATCACTCTCCGAGACATCTTGCTTTTCCAAACTCCGAAACGTAGAATCATTGAGTCAAACAAGTGGCGAGTCACATGATATGTCATGGCTGAGAGGGTATCGCTGGGAGTGGCTTTCATCACTTCGCGCCTGGAATGAGCTCATACCGGTACCATGAACATGGATCCTCTGTGGTGCGAGTCTCTGAGCGAGGGCTGATTCTCGAAGGGCTGCGAAATGAGAACCCAAGGCTCCATCCCAAAAGAAAACCAAAGCGAAGAATGCACCCTCAACTGCAGAAACTCTCAGAAACTCTGCAGACTCTTTGACGGAAGCGCGGGCTAGGATCTGTGCAACTTGCACAACAAAGCCAGTAAGCTATCCAGGGACTGAACCCGAATCGCCGACGGCTTTCACCTAAGGGATATTCACCCACGTTAGCAAAATCACAAGCAAACAGAGAGCTTTGCAAGCAGAGAACGGCTTCTGCTTGCTACCATCATCTCCGGCAACTTTGGCGGCCAAGACGTTCCCACAACAAAACTCTCTGGAACCTGATCGTGTCGAGGCATAGGCCAACTGAGCGATGGGACCGCATTGCTCTCGTCGTTGCTGCAAGCTTCGATTCAAGGGATTCAATGTGCCCGTTTACTGCGCAGCAGCTTGGAGTTGCCCCCCTGCGCCATCCAGGCTTGAGTTCCTATAGAGTCTGATGTAGCCTGTTCTTTCATATAGCCTGATATATATATATATATATATATATATATTTATTTATTTATTTGTATATATATATATATTACCATATATATTACCATACATATATATATATATATATTATAGATATATATATATAGATATATATATATATATATTACCATATACATATATATATATACATATATATATATATATATTATATATATATATAGATTATATATAGTATATTTATTATAAATATTCTATATTCTATATATATATATATAATATAATTGTAGAAGTATATAGTATATATATATATGTTATATTATATTATATATTGTATTGCACTATATATATATATATATATATATTATAACGTTCTTGGAGGCCTGGCAACCTCTCAGTTCTAGTTTGCATCATCGACGGCATCACAACCTCATTGCTGCCTGGATATCCAAAAAAAGTCTCCTGTACGGCGGCAACTCCTGTTCCGATAGTCGATCTTGCTTTCTCGCGTTGTGACTGGAGCTTGCAGTGCAAACGTCTGTCTCTCGCTCTCTGTCTCTGCCAAGTCTCGATCTCTCTCTCTCTCTCTGTCGCTCCGTACTCAGCCAGCCTCCGCCTTCGCGTGACAAATTCCGAAAAAACAATCCGTCTGCAGGCTGACAGCGCTTGGCCAGGCGCAGAAGGGAAGCGCTAGGAGCTCTTCCCTTCGACTTCTGTACAATCAAATTTGTGTGTCTCGGTGAGCACTTGAGTTCCGAGCCATGGCGGTCGGGCTTTGAAGATGCTGGAGGAGTACAACTTGTTCAGGCTGGTTCGAGCCATCCCCGGCTGCAAAGCCGTCATCAGTCGGAACAGAGCCACACCGTGCACCTGACTCCAACAGCCTGCCAAACTGGTGTAGAACGGATTGCACAGCGCTGGCCCCTTCAGGGCTTCGACATACGATGCCAGTCATAGCTGGCAGCACAAAACCCATGCCCTTCGGGCATTGAAAAAGCGCGCCCCGCGCCTGGCTGTGTCAAGATGATCTCCAACTCTTCGTCGCGTGCAAGTTGTGGAGCGTCACCTGGAGCAGGGGTGGAGAGTCGATCTGCCCATTTGCTCAGAGTCAACTGCTCCAACTGCTCTTGAGCAGTCGGAGTGTGAGAAGTCAACGGCAAGCAAAACCCGCTCAGGATCAGAAACCCATGCCAGGTGGCTCTAGCAGGACATCCTTGGCGGCCAGGATTGAACACACCCGCGATCAACGGAAACCGAAAACCGACAGGACGGTCCTGGCCTTCTACGAAGATGTGAATTCGCCAGCCACTCCTGACACTCCGTCATATTCATACTCGAAACTTCGCAACACGACACTGAACATCGCAGTGCCAAGAAGCTCAGTTCAGGCAAGCTGCAGGAATCGGCATTGCGCGCGCTGGTTGCGCGAATGTGCTTAAAGGAGGAGTTGTTGAAGACATCCTCCAAGCCGCTTTCAAAAGGCTCGGAAGAGATCTGAGCCCCGACCTGTGAGTTAGCCCTGAACGAGGCATGAGTACTGCCAGGGGTGTGCACTGGTCGGACGGGCTCCTGGACGCTGGTCGTCTTCCTGGGCGTGGAACTCACGCTGCAGTGACCCGAACCTGCCAGCGAGACTCAACTGCGCACTCCGTCTACCTCTTCCGCGATGCGGAGAAAAGACCCACCCGCGCTGTTTCTATTTTTTGCTCGACACCTAGCAACTTTGAAGGTCTTGGCACCTTCGGTTCCTGTGGCGCGATGCGTGCGCTTCGACGGCTCTGCGAGTTGCACGTGCTTCAGACGGCCGAGGTCGCTTGGTATTGCCATTTTGTGGCACCTGCTCGTCCTGCTGGTATCTATGAAGTCTCTGAATTCAAGCCGGGTCGTAGAGGCTGCCCGCGGACTAGGTGCACGTGTAGCTGCAACGGTCACGGGCAAGCTTTGCGGGCGGGAAACCAAAACAGAAAGCCGACCTGCAGCGCCTTTCACCTCTTCGCCGAACAGAAGGGCCACAGAGACACGACTTTTTGTTCGGCCCCGGAGTCTGAAGCCGCCAAGCCGCCTTGCTGCCCGACGTCCTCCTCCTCGTCCTCGTGTTCATCCTGAGCCGGCCAAACTTGTGGCAGGATCTTGAAGACTTCCTCGAACAAGACCTGCCGGGTGCAGGGCAGGAGTATACAAACGCTCAAGCTTCGTGGCAACAAGGGATATCAAGGGTCGCGCACCTCTATCTTGGTCTCCATGCGCCAGATGTCCAAGGCCTGCAAACAAGGTGAACATCCCGTGCTTGTTTGACCATCTATCCGCCTGAGGATCTGTATGTATGTGTGTGTGTGTGTCTGTGTGAAGGGGTTTGCGATTCAAGCTGCGAGTATATGTGTCCATGTATATCTGCATGTATGCATGCATGTACTTGCACGCATGCACGCATGAACGTATATTAGTATGCATGCGCACGCCCCCCGACCGTCGGGGCCCCGAAACATGTAGAATTCAAATTGAGCAGCCGGTCTTATGCTGAACCCATCGCAGCGCCGACTACAAGCTTTTCTTGTGTCGCGGCAACGAAAGTACTAACTGTCCATGATGCCACTGCCTTTTACAAAGCTTCGCAGATTTCTGCATGACAGATTGCTTAGCATCATCTTGACTGCCAACGACGTATGCTTGAAGCATAACTGCAGTTTCATATACACAGTTCAAGAGCTTGCAAACACGGGCATGGAATGCTGATTTCCGCACTCCTCCTCGCTTCGACTGCAAAGGCTGAAGCGGTCTCAATAAATTCGATGACCGTTGTTTTCAGCACAGCATCTACACAAGTTGAACGATTGTGTTCTTGATGTATTTCGAAGTCCCCAACAATCTGGATAGATGTGGAGCTTATCTCCGCCAGGAACTTGTAGGAAGGGGCCAGCGAAAGTGCGCATCATCGCCGGCTGGTAGGACTCGACTCGCGTGAAGGCCAGATCGGCCTGTGTGCATGCATCCTTGGTTTCAACCGCCCTTGGTTGCCTATTCGTTCTTGACGTAGATGGAACCGAGGACGTACTTGTAGGAGGTGGGGTTTTTGATGACGCCGATGCTTCGCTCAGCACTGTTGCCGCAAAGGAAACCTTGGCATTGGAGAAGAGCCCTTTGGCATCGTGTAGTTGAACTTCTCCCGCAAAGTAACCAGTCGTAGCTTCTAGTCATTCGTCAGGGACGTAGGGTCCAATGCCAGGAGCCTTTGAAGTTCTCCTCTTGTCAACTTCTTGCACGTTTCCTTGTCCGCCTTGGCTCCTAGTGCTTTCACCCTGGCTTGCCTCGATCTCAAACAGGCCTTTGCTCCTTCCCACAGACCAATAATGGCAATGGCTAATATCATCACCGCCAGGTAGAGGTCCCAAGGAATGTCTGCTTGCATATCTTCTTTCTCTCGTTGAGCACATACACAACACCATTGGCATAGCAGCAGAAGCTTTGACAATCATGTGGGATTTACCTCAAAAGCCCGCACTGCCGCTCCTTCAACATTTTCTCCTCGTCGATCATGAATGCCCCACATTGCGATGAGCTGGTATAACCTTTCTTTTGTAAATGGTTTTGTGCCTAGATCTGCTCGTTGAAGATCTCCCGGTTGATGTCTCAGGTTCACGGCCTTCTTGTTGATGAGTTCTCGTAGCCAGTTGCTCCGAACCCGTAGATGACGGGTCCTCCATGACCCGCTTGAGGAGCCCAACAAAGTGACTGCCGCTTGGTCGTCCACCAGGAGGTTCATTACAATGGGCCTTCCGGTGAGCTCCTCAAGAAGGCATTTCGTTGACCTTCCCAACACCGATCCCTCGACTGCTTCAAGTAGCTCTGACTCAGCCGTAGAAAAAGAACATAGCGCCTGACGGCCTGCTCTCCATGAATGCAATTGCCGCATCTCCGTAGAAGACCGCGCAACATCCATTCGACCTTCCCCCGCTCGGAGCGAAGGAGCTGTCCGCGTACACGTCGGTGTCCTTCTTTCTCTTCCTGGTACACAAAGGCCAAACGGAAGTGTAGAGTCTCGCACAAGTAGTCGAGCAATCGTACTCCTATTTTGTTCACCAACTCCGGGCATCTTGTTATCCGAGAGGATACTGCATGTTGAAGGTCCGGGCGGGCGCGCCCCATGAGCCATAGTAGTTCTCCAACTCGTCGCTGAGCCTCCTTGATTTCCGCCTCTCTACCTGCTGTTTCAGCAGGTTCTGCATCGATCAGAGCCCTTTCTTCTTCGTCTGTTAGGATCATCGTCTCCTCGGGTCCCTGGGACTTTGATCGGGATCCATCATGGTGGTAGGAGCGAAGGAGCTCCTTTATGAATCCTTCCTGTGCCATTTCAACTGCATGAGGAACTCGGTGTAGCTCTGTCCCCAAAAACTTTATAGGGTGCGCATAGTCAAGGACGCCCAAATCATCAACCTCCCACTTCGCCGATAACCGCTGGAAGAAACCCCACATTGTGTCTTCCTCAGCATTAACCAGAAGGTCATCGATATACACAAGCCATGGGGTTCACCTTGACCATCTTCACGAACAATTCGCCAAACCTGATTGTCTGAGATCATCTGCTCTAGTTTCATGGTGACAGGCACTCCATCGATCACTGTAATGCATCGGGTTTCTGCTAACTGGCTGTCCCTATACTGACTCCACGTTGCTGGTGACTCGCGTAGGCCATAAATGGCCTGTCTCACTAGCCACATATCTCCTTCCTCCGCCAGTCCAGCTCAAAGGCAATGGAGGGCGGTTGAAGAGCGACAGGTCCACCCAGCCATGTTGCCAGGACAAAAGCCTGGCGCATGTCTGTGACTCCCCATCTCCTTCAATTGGTCCTCTTTGCCCCAAACGCCAACATTGTCCTCAAAGACGTTGCGTCCAAGCCAGCAGCGAAGAAATCAAAGGTTGTCTCATCCTCCGGCACATGATTTCCGCACGCCACAAACCTGGTCTTGCTGCGGTAGCCAGCTGTTGATTTGTCCGGTTTCACCGTATATACCCCTTTACAAGGCACGATGCGACATCCTGCTGGTAGGTCTTGACGCTTGGTAACAACCAGAGCTTGCTTGGCCTTGGTCAGGTTCTCGAACTCCTGTTGCGCCGATTCCTTCCATGCGCCCAAAGTCTTTTTTACCTCTTGCTGGCTTACTGGACGCGTCACCTGGAGGGGCTCATTCTTCTTCCTGAGGTTTTCCAAGATCTCCTCCATGTCCGGAGTGTACTGCACTTCAGCTTTTTGACAATCTTCATCAACTTTGCTGCAGCTCTATTTCTCACTCGCTCCCGGTGGGTGAGCTCCACCACCAGGTAGAAGATCTTCATCCCAAATCTCCACGAAGGTCGTCGGGACTGTCGTAGCCGAGATAGCTCTAACCGAGCCGATTCTCGGCTCGTCATTCTCCTCCTCATCCGAACAACCATCTTCACCTTCACGGGTCCACGACGCTGGGTCCAACGGGAAACCAAAGTCCTCCAACGTCTCAATGTGCCCTTGCGATAGCTTGGTTGCTCGGGGTGGGTAAGCCAAGAGGACAATGCGCTCGCCCTTCCATTGCTGAACTTCGTGCCACTTCAGAGGAGAAAAAGACACGGGCTTGCCTCGCTCAGCCTCCTGGATGTAGCCCCTCAGTTCCTCACCCTTTGGGCTTGTTCTTTTCACACAAAGTTCTTCACCGATATCTTCATCTTGGATCCAAAGGTGGCCTTCCTCAAAGCTGGTAAGGGGGACCACAAAGTTCTTGGAACCCACAAAGTTGTGTGAATCTCGATGAACTCCAAGCTGTGCATTTCTTGAAATCCCAACCGCCGAAAGCTTTGCTTCACCAACATATCTCTTTGCGGCTGCAACGAGGTACTTGGTAGCGTTGGGAAGTTCTCCAGATTGTTTCTCGTTCCGGCCACACCACCTCGAACATACGCTCCTGTAGAACATGACGTAGTACTCCGTTTCTTGCTCACCCTTGTGTCGGACTGGCCAAGCCCTTCCAGAAGCTTGTAGATGGCAAGGATCTCTTCTTCATTGAACTCCTCCTGCTCCCAAGGCCTTGCGCGCCCTCAATTCAATCTCCTCAGCAACCTGCCTTTTGGAGGGAGCGACTTCATCATCCTCACCTTCTGGTACTCCCTCAGCAACGGCAGGAGGTAGGAGATCACGGAGTTCCTTGTCATTTTCAACATCCTTCACGTCAAACTTTATGCTTTTTGCAACAATTAATCCACCGTCTTCACGCATTACCAGGTGTCCTCTCCTCAGCTCAGATGACGGTCCCCTGCACCACCCCTTTTTCCATCGGTCGCGTGCAGCATCATGCTTTTTGTCCTTCTTTCACTGCCAGTCCTTTGCCCGGAACCACACTTCATTGCCAAAGGATGTAGCCGGAGGGGTTGTCAACGGACCTGAAGAAAAATCCTTGACCAAAGCTCTGCTGCTGCATGACTTGTCGCCACAATAGGCTACTTTTTTGGCGATGCACCTGATCCACGAATAAGGGCGCGAACTCTTTGCTTGGCCCATCTTGTGCCCAGCTCCGCGGTGGCATTGCCTGCATGGTCGCCTCCAGCTGTTTTGGTGCGACGAAGATTGGACTCCACTGTTGAAGCCCTCGGCCTTTAACTCGCGGGCCCTGTTAGCGTGGATAAGTTCCAACTTTGTCGAAGCTCTAGAAGAATCTCTTTGGCCGCCACCAACACATGTGCTGCCGTCCTCCTTCGCAATGGCTTGGTCAGTCAAAGCGTGGTCGGGTTTTTCAGGTCGTCGACCGCCTCATCCAAGGTCTCTGGCCCAGGCTCCTCACCTTCGCTTTCCACTTCCCCTTCACCCGCTTCGTCCTTCAGCTTGATCGTCATCCAACTCCAAAGGATCATCTTCTCCATCTGGTTCATCAGGGACGTAGAGGCTACGATCATGTTCCGGAATTGACATTGCGTTCAAGTACTCCTTCGGGCACCGGTAAGCAGCAACCATGATCTACTTGTAGTCCTCATGTTCCATGTCCCGTCCTCGCTGTTTGAACGGTCCTGCCAAATCCAACGCCAGCGAGTATAATCCCGGAGTCCTTCTCCTCCTGCGCTGGTAACCATAGGCCTGGGCATTGATGCATATGGAGCAGTCGGAGCGGTAAGGCTGGCGGTCGTTCCGCAAATGGTTTTTCCATTGTTCACGCTGCTCCTTCGTCAACTTCGCAAACTTAGCTCCCAAATCCGCGATCTCCTCTTCCGAAGACATGCGCCCTTCATGAAGGTCGGCAATTGAAGCCACAACCACCTTTTTGAACCCATTGGATCAACTCCCACGTTGCTTTGCATCAAAAAGTGAAGCTGGACTACATGGGCTGCCAAAGTCATAGTTGCCATCCATGTTCAGCACCAAGGGGTAGTTTGAGGTCACAGTTGTAGGGCGGGTTGAGCGATGGCCATACGCACCCATGTAGAATAAGGCTTTTCTCATTCCACTCACAGACTTGAAAGCCTTCCACATCTCGGTCTGCCAAAAAGAGGCCTGTTGAGGATCACATGGAGCCGTTCTTCATCAGAGGGGAGATCAAACAAGAAGCCTACGTTCCCTTTGTTTGTTGCTGTTGCAACCATCCATAAAATCAACTGCTTCACCATCCTTGCCGTTGCTCTATGGACTCGTTGTTGTTGCGTCGGAGGTAGTGAAGAAAGTCCATAAGGCTTTGTTGGTGTTCTCATCGGGTAAGACTCTGGTCCTCTCCGAGGGGCTTGGGAAGTCGGCCACATTGAACACTGTGGGGAGCCGATGATATCGGTGAACTTGCCCTGCGAGGCTGCCCACAGAAGTTGCGCTTGTACTTCTTCAAGTAGTTCACAAGTGAAAGGACACGACAAAACCATCTTCAGGAAAGTTGCCTTCGCCCCTGTAGCTATGTACTCCCTAAGCAGCTCATCCCATGACCTTGCTTCCTCCTTCCTGAGCATCTCCAGCCTGGCTGTTAAAGAATCCACATGCTCCTTCAACTTCAAAAGCTGGTGGTTCTCGATCTCGTTGGTCAGTCTCCTCGCAGCCTTGGAAGAAAGCTCTGGGCACCGGTTCTTGATCTCCACTTCGATGGTTCCCTTTGTGGGGTGATGGAGCCTCAGAGATCCCCTCTTCCACGTCAATGAGTAGCCAAGTTCCTCCACAACAGCTTTCATCGGCACAATGGGCTGGACTTCGCCTGTGGAGTCTTCGACGAGGACGGTGCCCTTCAGGTTCTGCCGGAGGATCTTCGTGTCCTCTCCAGCCAAAGTGACTTTTCCTGGAGTTCGTACTCCTCAACCAAAGCGGTCGAAGAGCGTTGCTTGCCCTATTGTCGAGGAGGCCCTCCTTGGTGTCATCAGGGTCCTCCGCGATGTGAGCCTCAACCAAGCAAGGCTTTACCTTGACGTCCTTACAATCCTCAACCGTCACCTTCTTGATCGAGGATGTAGTCATAGTCTTCAGGACTTTTCCAACATCCCCGAGGACCTCCTTGATATCCACTTCCGGGGTCGTGCTCGAAGCCGCCGCTTGATCGTGCCGACCAGGGATAGTGGACACCTGAGGGTTATCATCGATTCGCACGTTCTTGTTGGGAGGTAGCAGAGGACGATGCGTAGAAGTAGAAGATGGCCGTCCATTACCCTTTTTGTGAGGGCAATCCTTGGCGCTGCGGGCCTTTCCTCCGCACGACAAGCAACGTCCATTCTTTTCCTTCTCCATGCCTTCCCAGCTGTGTTTGAACGGGCACCTGGAGGTTCTTGCGCATCCCTTGTAGGTCTTCCCGAAGAACTTGCATGGTATCTGCGAGCGATCCCCTTGAGACTTAGAGGAATCTTCATCCGAAGTTGTAGGCGCCGAAGTGGTCCTCGTTGGTGGTGGTGGAGGCGTTGGAACTCCCGCGGTTGTCTCAGTCCGAACTGGTTTTATCCGGGGCTCTGGCTTATTGGTTGCGGTTGTCGTTGTGGTAGCGGAGCTTGTAGATCCACTAACACTGGCCACAGCCAAGGCTTCACCCTCGCCCATCAAATGCTTGTAAAACTTCTCGACGGTGTCGTAAGTCGGGCTAGCGCCGACACCCAACGTGGACTTCACAAGTGAAGTCCTAAACTTTGCATCGCTGCGCTTGTCGAGCAACAACTTCACCATGTGGTTCAATCCTCTGGTCAACAAACTTGGGTCTGGTGCCTGCACATTGAGCTCACGACACCTTCTCAGCCACCTTTCCCATGCTCGGAGGGCCTCCACCGTCTTCTGGGCATCTTGCTCCTGTGGAGGCGAGGACAGGTTCTGGAGAATCTTCAGTTTTTCTCCTTCCCCCCCTGGTTGATATAACGTCATCAGTCTGCAAATCAAGCAGGTAGTAGATGACGCAAGCCCACGGGCCACCATTTCGGTCTTGACTGAGTCCGGCAGCGCAAGAAGAATCATGGAAGCGGCTCGGCTGCTAACCCGAGACCATTTGCCACCCTCGAGCTCCTCACCGATTTCCGGACCAATGCTGAGCTTCTCAAGTGGACTTGCATTTGCCCTAGACTCGCGCTGCTTCCTTTCGGACCTTCTTCCACCATGTAGCCGAACCGTCTGACAGGTCGGAAAGCGGGGTCGCTATAAGCTCAAGCCAGTCCATGATGTCGACCGGGCTGGTGTCTGGTTTCGGTTCTGGCAACGAAGGCAACGTCGTGGTGCCTGGTTTCACGGTTTCAGGCGAACGCTCCCCTGTAGCTTGTGTGCTCATCTGTTTCAGCATAGCTGCTTGCAACTGCACCATGCCCCCAGCGAAAATGGCCATTGGATCTCCAGGAGGAGCGCTTCCCAGCCACTGCTTCGGTGTTGTTGTAAACTCAGGACCATTCATACCGCTTGTCGTGGTTGAGTTTGCAGGATCCTGTGCTCTCCCTTCAGGTACTTGAGCATTGCTTTGGGACTCTTTCGGCATGGTTCCTGAAAACATGTTTCTGTGGACACTCGTGTTGCCAGCACCAACATCATAACTTGGATCCCCTCGTGGTTGCTGCTGAGACTGAGGATCTTCTGCGGGTAGCGGCTGAAGATCTCCCTGACTTTGACCTCCTACTTGCTGTGGATATCCCGAATGATCCCCTCGTGGTTGCTGCTGAGACTGAGGATTTCCTTGAGGTGGCTGCTGAAGATCACCCTGACCCTGGTAAACAGCTTGCGGTTGTAGCGCTGCAAGATCCCCTCGTGGTTGCTGCTGAGGCTGAGGATTTCCTGGGGGTAGCTGCTGAAGATCACCTTGACCTCGCCCGTTAACTCCCAAAGCATTGTCCCTTTCCTGTCGCAACTGCACCACTTCCTGCTGACGTCTTGTCATTTGCTCCTGGTACTTCGTATTTGGACTTCAGCCTGCAAGCGGGAAGATCTTTCACTTCCACGTTGAGACTGCCTCATCTGATCAAGCTGTCCTTGATCAAGCAAGGGAGGCTCCATAGGTCCCGGCGCCGACCATGTCAAAGGAATCGGAGGTCGCTGCATTGCCAGGAGATCCTCAGGTGGAGATACATTCCCCACTGTCCTCTGGGTTATCATTCTGCTCGTCTGACTGCCGTTCCCTGGCTGCAGTAGCTGGGGGAAGCCGATATTGTCTCACAACCGATCGACTCCATTGGCACTCCTTGTCGCCGCGGTCCTCAGAAACTCAGTCAGTCTTGTAGTCCCCCTCACATTGGGTTGCTCCGGGGTGGACGCCTCCGCATGGACTTACCCTTTCTCCCAAGGCAGCCTTTTCAACCACACGTAGATCACCACCTGCAGTTGTCACATTTGTGCCCAGCTGCTGTTGCATCCCGTAGGGGGTTCCTCGGTGTTTTGCATGGGTCGCGGTGGAGTAGTTGTCGGCCCAGCCATCTGTATTTCCTGTCTCACAGGCGCTGGGTCTTGTAGGTTTGCATTTGCCATTCCCATACTTGTTGCCACTGTGTTTGAGGAAGCCGAAGGTCTTGAAGGCTCTGCAACGCCACTTTGCAGGGGCTCTGGTGTGTTCACGTAGCCACTCACCTCGGGTCTCACGGAGTCTCCTTCATGTCGTAATTGGGCGGTCATAACCTGTAGAATTCGAATTGAGCAGCCGGTCTTATGCTGAACCCATCGCAGCGCCGACAAACGAGCTTTTCTTCTGTCGCGGCAACGAAAGTACCTACTGTCTATGATGCCACTGCCCTTTACAAAGCTTCGCAGATTTCTGCATGACAGATTGCTTAGCATCAGCTTGACTGCCAACGACGTATGCTTGAAGCATAACTGCAGTTTCATATGCACTGTTCAAGAGCTTGCAAACACGGGCATGGAACGCTGATTTCCGCAATTTGCCGCAAAACAATAGAGATCTGCATATCACATCCTATCATGTGGTGGCATCCACTTTAGGCAGCCTTCGCACTGCCCCGCAGGCGTCCAGCGCCCTCAATGAACTCCGAAAGCCTGGGGGGGCCAGTTTCGGCTCGAAACTCCCATCCAGCTCGAAGAAAGCGTTGCATGAGACACCCAAGACCTTCCCGCTGAAAAGCCGAGACAAGAGAATCTTCCTGCTCTCAATATTCACACCTGCTGCCTCAGCCTTTCGGAACCGTTGCTTCAAGACCGGGTCCTGCCGATTTATCCGATTCACCTGAACTGCCTCACGTCAACAGTAACACTCGAGCTTTGGGGAGCTGTATCCAGTTGGCCCAAGCCACGTGATCTGGCCATCGCCTGGGTGGGGGGCTTCTGAGGACTAAGGAAAACTCCGGGCAAGTGGAGAGGGCGAAAGTCCAAAAACCTACAAACCTACACCCTAAACCCTAGACCCCTAAACCCCATCAGCCCTAAACCCTAAACCCTAAACCCTAAACCCCTAAACCCTAGACCCCTAAACCCCATCAGCCCTAAACCCCACGTGGCTGGCGACAAGGCGCCGTTGTCGAGGAACTCGAAGAGGCTCAACAAGTCGTGGTACTCCAACCTCTGCTCTTCTGCTTCCACTAATGGTCCCTGTACCATTAGCATTCTTAGCTTAGCCTTATTATTATTATTATTATTACTATTATTATTACTATTATTATCATTATTATTATTATTGATACAGCTAATATTGCTGCTACGTAGTCCATGGATCGGATCCTTTCCCTGCGGTCCGAGCAGCTCCAATTGGCTCATCCAGAAGCTCAGCTTGGGTGACTGCACCAGCTTTTCGAACTCCTGATTCGGCCAGGGAGCTACAAAGTATGAGGCTTGGGACAGGGGAGGGAGGCCAGAAAAAACCGATGCGTTCGATCCGGACTTCGCCGAGAAGGGCAATAAATACACGTTTGGCGCGACAGGGGTCGAGAAAGCAGTGCAAACGGGGCCGAAAAACGTGGAGCTTGGGGACGGACCGCGGGAGCGTCGAAACGAAAAGCCTGTTCACGAGGATGGCCGGGCTGCCAGCATCTACTGGGTTCTTGTTAAGGGATTTAATTTAAGTTACCATAATAAGGAAACCATACTATTTACGATAGATCCCTATTATGGTAACTTAAATTAAATCCCTTAACAAGAACCCAATCTAGTCCTGTGACCTTCCTGCGAGCAGAAAGAGGACCGGAGTGCCAACTGCAGAGGAAGAGAGGGCAAAGCAGGATAGCGAAGCAGAACAGCACAGCCACACGAAAAAACATGACCAGCGGCATCTAACATCTCCAAAGCTTTGAATGCTACCGGACCTCTTCAAGGCGCGTTTTCTTCCAGACAGAATCCGAGGCAAGTGTGGCCTCCAAGTTGATCGCGCCGTCTCCAGAAGAGTCGATGGTTTGAAAGAGTTTCCGCACCTCGGTCTCAGAAGAGCTTCGCTGGCTCCACGCACCACGACGACTCCGCGTTGAGGTTCGAGTTCTGCGGGGACCAAAAGAAAGCAATTAGCTGCTCGGCCCAGTGGGAGATGGCTGTAGGCTTTAGGGCCAAGAGCTACTCAGCGACTCTCACAGTCTCACAGTCATAGGCTACTCTGAGTCCCCTCCAAGCGGCTTTCCGGTTGTACTGCGCGATGTCCTTCTCCTCCCAAGGTTTTGAAACTCTCTATGCGCAGGACTCTAAGTCGGACAGCTTGGCCGTTACAGCTTCCGAGTGAGTGGGTCTTGGGCCTGGGTTCCACCAGCCGCGCCTCCTATAGCCTTCTCAGGCGGCATTAGGGCCGTAGAAGGCAGCCATGACGGCTGCAGTCGACAAGCCCTGCAGGACATGCCGATGATATCTTGTTGAAGTGCCTGAAGCCGAAACAATGAATCCCCAGCCAACGGCTCCAATGCTTACCCCGGCTGACCCACGGAACATCTCACCTTCTGCTTGAAAGCCAGCTCTTCGTCGGAAGTTGCAGTTTTCATCGTCTGCCTGCAGTGCATGTGTGCTTCTGCATGTTCACTAAGACTTTTTACAGTCTCTTTCAAACTTCAAACTGACCGAGGAATCAGATCAAGTTACACTAGCACCTCTGGCCACCAGCCTCCAGTCTTACTTCAGCAAACCCATTCCGCATCGTCTGCATGGTACATGCGCCCTGACAGAAGCCGCGCCGAAAGACCGCCAAGGTGCTGGACAAACACTGAGTTTACCTCAGCGTCGCAGAGACCGAAAGCAGCAGAGTTGATTTCGGGGCAGCTCCAGGCTTTGTAGGGGTCTCGAGGGCTGCGGGCTTGCCTGGGCTTGCATCCAAGCTGCAACGTTGAGCACCGCGAAGCCGAAGACGCAGCCTCGGCGGAGCGGAGCAGAGAAGTGGACTCGAAGTGACGCATCGGCCCTTTGCCCTTGAGTCCCTTGAGGGCTCGGCGGTAAAGCAAAAAGAAGAGCGCGAACCACTCGGAGATGTTGTCGACGAGCACGCGACAGGCCGGCCCCCAATTGGCAAACCTCGGGAAGGCAGCTGCAAACCCCATGCGGGCGGTCGTCAGTCGTCACCAGCTTAGTTCCGATACCCCGACGCGGGCAGGGGGCTTAGAAGAAAGGGTTTGGACGACGCATTTGCGTTACTCGAACCTTTAGGAAGCTGCGCAGTCGGTTTGGGGGCTCCTGCACCGGTCTCGATCCCAAAAAAGGGTTACAATGGACAAGATGTTCGTCATTCCGACTATCGGCAGTGGCAAACCCACTCTCTGCAGAACCTTACGGCAGATTCGTTCTTTGAGTCTGAAGTTTGAACCCGGCATCTCTAGACGCAAACGTTGTCACGGCCCATAACAGGCTCACCAGACGGACCCACCGAAACCTCGAAGCTTCTGTTCGAGCCTTCGAGCTCCTTGGAAGGTGAGGGCCAACGTGTCAACCCTTTCCAAAAACAAGCTACACTTCTAGGCGCAGCAGCATGATCTCGAACATGGTGAGGAAAGTTCGGGAGAAGGTCCCGTAGTATCGGAAGACCTCAGGGTTGCCCGGATGTGTTGCAGGAAGCTCGTAAACTTGAATTACAGCGTAGCGCAACGTAAAATCCGATTGAACGAACGCACCCATCAAGCATCCAGCATCCACCCACCACCCACCTCCTCCTTCATGAGACCGTCGTTCCGGTCGTCTAGCAAGTACGGGGCAGCCAGCATGCTCACCACAACTCCAGCCAAGAGTTGTAGAAGAGACAAAAGGCAGAAGGACCAAAACCTCGGTGTCGCGCTGAGCAAAAAAATTTGGAAAGGAAGCTCTGACTCTGGTTCGGTGCAGCCTTGGAGCAACATCCCTCGACTCGCTTCCAAGCATTTCACCAGCAGTTGGAGGGGAGCATGGCCCACTGCGACACTGAACCTCGGAGCGAGCTTCCTCCCAGCTCTTTTCTTTCGCCAGGGCTGTGGTGAGGGGGTTGTGGCACGGCTCTCTCTCTCTCTCTCTCTCCCCTCTCTCTCAGGCCCGCACGAAGTGTTTTCAGGCAAAAGTGATGTAAAACAGAGACCGCTTCAAAAGGCAGGAGACTAAGGCCATATAGTAGACGATAACGACTACCACCTTCTTCCACACAGCCAAAGGAAGAGCGGACAGCCCCTTCCCGCGTGCGGGCGAACCCTGGTCTCCAGAGTCTCTGTTCGAAGGCTACAACGGATCAGGTCGACGCCAGTACAACTGTGAATTTCCCCTGCACGAACACTATGAACCCATCCCCCGGCCTCGTCCTAAGGCTGATGCTTGTCCTGTGCCCCAGCACGCACTTTGCCGCGGACTTGCAACTATAAAGGAACTGGGCGACCAGTGGATAACGACCACCCTCTCTCTCTCTCTCTCTCTCTCCCTCTCTCTCATCAGGAATTTCAAGCAGGGGAAAAGGCAAGCTGGCTGCATCCGACCCAGGCACATGCGCAGCGCTTTCGTCAGCTTGACGACGCGCAGCAACCGGAAAAAGTCGAAGTTGACGTCGGAACTGTCGGTCGACAGGAGCCAACATACTTCCACGACGCAAAAAGCGGCCACCACGAAATCCAAGCAGTTCATCCAGGTCCGCCTTGGATTGCCCAAATCACGCTTCACCCTCACGGGGCTCACATTCAGACGGGGACACATTCTCTCTTCGGATGCTTCTCTCTTTGTGCACAGGTGCCTCTTCAGAGACTCGTGCCATCAATAAGTCTACTCAACAAGTCTTACCTTCTGGGAGCCCTTTAAGGGTTCCTTCAAAGCCCTGGAAACAAAAACACGGGGGCCTGGGCCTAGGCTAAGAGTCAGGCTTGTCAGCTTGTTGCTGCCGGGCGGAAACCAAAACAGGCTCGCACCGTGAGCTACTGACTTAGTCGACTTGAAATCCTGTGCAGCTTACCATGGCCGCGGTGACATGAATCCACGCCTGTAGAACTCCAAAGCAAGCTCTCCTTCTCAAAACCTCGAAGGTCACACCTGTCGGTCGAAGAAGTTTTGTGCCGGCAGGCCAAAACTGTCGGCCCAGCCCCAGGATCCTCAAGCAAGCGTCTCCAATGTAGAGGCCGGCCTCAGCCCACACTGGCGCTGACGTTTGCTGAAAAGTCCTAGACCCTTCCCGCACACACGACGGTACAGTGATGGAGCCAAGCCTGCCCTCGCGGATGCGGGCCGCATTACACTATAAATGCCAAGCCCAAAGATTGAGCTGTGTCACGAAGATGGCATCGCCGAGGTAGAAGATCTCCCTCACACATACGCACACTGATCAGGAGATTTCTTTTTGGAACTACATATCTAGACAAGCGTCTCTGATATCTTTGTGTGCCTACAAAGGAGTCCCGGTCACCTGCGGTTGCCCACCCACGATGGACAGTAAAATGAACAAAAATCCTACCTCACTCTCGACCTGTGGATGCCATGGATTATCCACATCATGGATCATAGCTTCCCACCTCCTCCAGGCGGGTACCAACACTCAGAGGCAGTCCCACTGCTGGCGGTTCGGGAGTCAGAGACCTCCCCTACATCCCACGGCCTGCCTCCAGATCTGCATGCCCACTCCGAAAGAAGTGTCAGTGAGGTCGATCCTTGTCCGATGACATCTAACGGTATGCGCTTACGTGTACGTTCATTCTCGGAGGGTGGGCTGGCGGCTGGTGGGGGACCTGACACTGGCTTGGCCCGAAGCGTGAATACACGGAAATAGTGGCAACAAAGGGGCTGTTCGCCCTGCACCTGCACCGTCCAGGCCATCCACAACCTGAGTAGCCAGTTTGGCGGCAGATCCAGGAGCAGCCCTGCGTTGTGTTCGATGCTTCGGCAAGTTTGTTGCACTAGGGAAAGATATGCCCTTCAAGGGCAAGAAGTCACACTAGCAAAACTGATTGTGCTCATTGTTGCTGTATGCACGGCCACGCAGGCAGACACGTACAAATCGAGGTACGGTCATCGATGATGGCTCAAGCTCGAGCACCTACGAAGAGGCAACGAAGTGCCAGTCGGAATGGCCGGATACAGAATCGATCGATGAGCCTTAAGTCTCTCGTGGAGTCGTAGAGCTTCGGCTTTGTCAGCATGCAATATGATCCTCTTAGACTCTTGATGATGTACCATCTTCCGTGTTAAACAACTGGGCTCTCCAACTCCTTCGATACACGATTCCAGCCCCAACTCCCCTGATAACCAACACGACTTATAAGTATTGTGATAACACTGAGCACAATACGCCTCATGGTAGCACAAGAAACACAGCCTTCCTGTCCAGGGCACATATTCGCAACGAGGACTCCGGCCATGACACCCTGAGACAAGCAAAGTGGAGATGTTCGGCTCCGAGCTTTGTTGCCTTCGGCTCAGAGGTTTGCTTCTCAGGGAGTTGGAGTGTCTCGAAAAGCCTTGACTGCAACAGAGCGCGAACTGCTCAATTGCCAGCCTCGTATGTAGCCGACACGAGGAAATCTTGGCAGCGTTCCTGGATGCCAGTCAGATCCGATATCAACACGGTCACAGGTTAGCAGAGGGGGTGGTAAAATGCTTCCAAGCATCGGTGCGCGTTGGAGGATCCGACCTCAATGCGCCAAGGCAATTTGTCAGCCACAATCATTCCGCGAAGTAACCCGGTGCTAACTAATCTGCACTTCTGCACGGCGACAACTGGGAAATGCCAACAAATGCCTTTGAATCGATCTCGGGCAGTGCATTTGTCCATCAATACTTTACGTGCCATGTGTGCTGCTTCAACTTCCGCATAGGCTGCATGGTGGGCGGAAATCGCAAGCCATTTATTGCTGCACCTAGGAACAGGCTAGAACTGCGCATGCTGCAAGCAGGTTATGTGCCTGATGAGTAGCCACTTTAACTCATGCACTCCCAGCAGGATTGAAACACCGTGTCCCAAACCGACGTGTAGTTCGCCACTGAGCAGGCTAGCGTCTCGCTTGTCGAGAACCGTGTCTGGTTGTGAATATCTCGCATCTCCTGGTGTTCCTTCCAAGCTCCACTACGATTGAGTCGGGCATGGTTGGCGAGCTCACAGCACTGCGGCTTCAGCTCACACCAGTTCTTTTTCAGATCTCCATATTGAACCCAAACCCAAAGTTCGTCTGAACTTGACCCATAATCACAATCTCAGCGATTTTTCCAATCTCCTGTTCATCCCATGCTTCGAGGATGGTGTTGGCATCCACGAGAGCCTGAGTCGTATGACTGAGGCCGAGGGGCGCGGGAAATTCTCAGCGCACACTTACTGCCAACATGATGAAGTGCTGCCAAATGTTTGAAGAAGCCCGCAACGTCCCAGATCTCCCGCTGCTCCTCGTACTCCCATTGTCGAGTACTCCTACTGCTCCGAATACTCTTCCTCGTCTTCGTCCTCCTTCTTCGTAAGTCGTTTCGATGACCAGCAATACCATCTCCGGCTTTAATCATCTCTAACGAGAAATACAATAATCCTTCTGTTACTGCTCACGCTCCAGCTGTCACTGGTACTGCAATGTCGAAGATCTCTACGATGCTAGAATTGCAGAAAGTCGGCCAGGCGACGGACTGTGAGGAAAGTCGCTTGTTTCGCCACTGGCCCGGGTAGCTGAGGTTCGAACTCATCGACATCGGCGTCCTTAAACAGATGGGCAAGAACGGAGGATACAGAAACACTGAAACAGGTCGCTTAGGCATCCGCTTGCACACGAGGCCCTGAAAACAAAATCGCATGTTGCTGTGTGAGAGGCATCATTCGCTCCATACCAGTCACCTTCAAGAGAGCTTCAAACGACCAATTGAGACAGTGTCTTCGTGGTGAGCTGTACTGTATTGCTAAAGGCAGCAATAGGTCCAATAGGTCTTAGCTCCTCAGGTTCCGGAGGCTCTGGCAAAAGCAGACATAGCTTCAAAAATGTTCAAAAATGTCTACGCTCCCCTTCCCTGTGCCCGGCCAGAGTGGGCGACAACACCGGCGACTCATCCTTCCTCGCCAAAGCCGCTCGAAGCGCTTCAAGCTCCGTTGCCTCATGTCGCTGCAAAATCTTCAGACGTAGAGGTGTTGTGAGGGTCGGAGAGTCCTCGGTGCATCTCTGGGAAAATCGAGGTACATGCTGGTTCACCAGCTGGTCAATCAACGCCTGGAAGGCCTGAGTCGCTCTTCGCAGACGGGTCGCAGAAGCTGAAGTCTGCTGCACTGAGAATTCGGTCGCACGGACTTCTCTGCAATTCTGTGGCCAGTCTACACTCTACGCTCTCCAGCACGATGTGGCAGATGGTCGCAGTGAAAATGTGCTTCCCCTTACCAGTCTCCTACTGAAGCGGTCAAGACTCTCAGCTTGGAGTAGCCCGCAACAGCCTTCCCTGGCACCCTCAGCCCTAAGCACACGGCAAAGCAACGGGAAAAGCATCTTGTCTGCTTGGCCCCTCCATGTGCTGGCAGGAGGCCTGGGATGCCACCATCGGTCGTGCCTTGACTCGGGGCATCTAGACTCTGCGCCTGTTGTCTGTCCAACACCTCTTCTATAAACATTGCAGCCATTTAAATTTTGCTTCTTTGCGACATTCTTGCAGGAAACAACTGAAAATTGACCCGAGGTTCCAAGGCCATGACGCACCGACATGAAAAACTCACGAGTTCTCGACGGCTGGGCAGCCTCTGAAAACTTATGTCAGGTTTTACTACATCCGGAGAGCGAAACTGTGACATGGTTCCGGGACTAAGGACATTCCCAAACTTCGGACGCCGAAGTCGACGGCTTAGCTTCGGAGGCAAGTCACGGCAAAGGAACCAGTAAGGCGCAACAACCAACATTAGAAGGATGCCGTTCAATCATCGCTCGCAGCTCTGAGGTCGCCGCCGGACTTCGCGGCGAGAGGCTGTCCACCGATGCGTCGCTCGCCGATTTGGCTCGAGTCCTCACCTTCGTTGCAGCTACATACATTATGAAGGTGCAGCACAAGAAATCGATCCCCTCATGCACTGCCCAGCATAGACCCTAGACTCTAGACCCCCTTCAACTTCACTTCCATCTAATGCGTCAGCAAAGGCCGTGAGGACAGAGAGGGGTTGCTTCGGGATCTTCGGCAGAGGCTGCCCCGCTGACCCAGAAGGCCTGCGGGCTCGCGGGCAGCGCCAAGCGACCGTCCTTCGCAAGTGATACGTCCACCGGTCTGCGCACCAGCCACAGCCCACGTAGCATAACGAGCGACAGGAACCCAATCTATATGATAAGAACTTCTGCCAAATCAACGGCATCAATGCCCTCCCCGACCTTCAGCGACCACTGAGGTGGCACATCTTCCGCCTCCGGCCCTGTCCCAGGTCTTGGGGCTGGGAAGGAAATCACAGTAAGCTGCTTCAGGGCATCTGTAGAGGTAGCAGCCCAATGCGCAAAGAAACATTCACGAGCTTCCCCACATCATGCCTAGGTGGCAAACAGTCCACAGAGAAACGGCGGTCGTCATTCTAGATTGACCCCAACACGCAACACGCCGCAGGTTCAAAGCTCCAGAGCCCGAATTCCTCCACACATAGCTTAGTGGGAGACAGATGCAATCTCTCGAGGCCTGGTATGCGTGGTTTCGCATGATGCACAGCCTGAAGGAAGCCTGCGGATGCTACGATCCCTCGGGTTCTGTGGAAGGGAATTAGCGGGAGTCGCTCTGGGCAGGCAGGAACACCACTGACCTCAGGTGTGCTGTGATTGTGACTTCGTGATACTGCTACAGTCTATGGTTGTCCCTTGGATGAGCATGGGTACAACTATCGGTATCAGCAATAGCAGTAGTACTACTGTAATCGTGGTCGTGGTGGTGGCGGCGGCGGTGGTGGTGGTGGTGGGGCGGCGGCGGCGGTGGTCGGGGTGGTGGGTCGTTGTTGTTGTTGAAGGAGGAGGAGGAGAAGGAAAAAGTAGAAGGAGAAGGAGAAGAAGGAAGCAGGAGAAGAGGGAGAAGAAGGAGGAGAAAGAGGAGGAGGAGGAGGAGGAGGAGTAGAACGAGAAGAACGAGTAGAAGGAGGCGTCGGAGGAGGAGGAGGAAGGAGGGGCGAGGAGAAAGAGGAGCGAGGAGGATGAGGAGGAGGAAAAGGAGGAGTGGGAAAAGGAGTAGGAGCAGGAGTCAGGAGGAGGAGGAGGAGTGGGAGAATAAGAGTAAGAGTAGGAGTGGGAGGAGGAGTAGCGGTAGTGGGGTGCGGGAGCCGTAGGGGGAGCAGCAGCGAGAGGCAGCGGCAGTGGTCGTGGTAGGGATCCGGGTATCAGTACAATCATCACCGCCACAGTCACCACGGCTACGATGTTACCGTTGTCATCTGTGTCAATGAGATCTTCATTACCTTGTCAAAATGTGGCTGTGCTTGCTGGTATGCACTTGTGATACTGCCGAAACGCCAAGAAGCATGTCCACTAACGACAACAAAGGTCTCGATTTCGGAACAAGCGCAATACTTCACACTGATTTCTTGTTGGATGATCATAGTCACCAGCATCTCGAGCACGCCACACCCCTCACTTTTTGCGACGACTCCTTTCTTCATCTGCCGAGCAACGACCGGGGCCCGTGTCGTGCGGCTCGCCGCCGCTCGGAGCCATGGCACGCTGCCCCAGGGAGTGTGTCTTCAAGTTAACTGTGTGCTGGAGTCTGAGAAAGGGACCAGGGATAAGGGTTAAAGATCTTCGAAGTAGCTGGGCACCAACTGCAAGACAAACCAACGCTCCGTTCCCCACCTCTTCGCACAGCACCTCGTCACTGCTACTACGATCGCTTCCTTGAGCAAAGTCTGTCCCAGCACGCCTGACTACGGACAAAAGAGAATCAGGTGGATGATGCAGGCGCTGGGTAGAACCACCTGACTTTTAATGACCTTAGGGGTGGGTTTTGTCGTTTCGGCGGCTGAATACACCCAAATTCCAACCCCCCAAACAGTCTCGACTCGGAGCTCGGCTTGGGTTGAGCAGACACGCTCGCAATACCTCTCCCATGCATCGGTCGCGGATATCATGATACCAAGCCACCTGCCTCCCGATTGTCCGGATTCTTGTCTGGATGCCAGACCAAGGCCTTCTCTCGATAGGCCTGCCAAAGGCTGTTCGGCTTCGGATTCGGTGCCCCGGGCACCTTTCACTGCAGCTTCCGCCCCTTGGATCCCAAACCTGTACCGCGGCAGTGGCCTTCTTAATGGTCCGAAGGTCAGCATCCTTCGGGACGTCCAGCACCTCGTAGTACGTCTGCTTGGCCTTAGGTGAGCTGTGCTACCCCACTTGAGCAGGTGTCCACGGGCAGTCTTTGATCAAACGCCTGCTCCCGAAGTCACAACTCGATGCAAAATTGCCCAGCCAAGGCCTCAGAGGAAGGGAATCCAAGACGAAGGCCCTTGGGAAAACCCGAAGGAGAAAAGATGGAGGCTCGGAGGCCGTGTGGCAAGGCACCGGAACACCAAATTGGCACAATGCCCCAGAAGAAAAGTGACAGAAACCCATAATCCTCAAGCCCTCAAACCCAATCCGGTCGTTCTCTTGACCTGTTGGCAGTTCAGCGATTCAGCGGTTCATGCGGCTTCATGCGGCCTCCACGGGTCTCTCTGGGGCCCCGAGCCCAGGCGAGGCAGAGCACCAGTAGCCAAAGCACCTCTCAACAGAAAGAGACAGAGAGAAGAGAAGAGGGAGAGAGAGCGGAGCGCAGTCCGCAATTGCGCGCTTTCGCCACTTTCGAGGAGCCCCATGAGCCCGGCCCAGCCTTGAGAGGGCCCATGCTGCGGCGGCGCACGACTTTTCTTATGACTGAAGCTTTCGGCCCCCTGCTCATACCAATGCGGAGAGAATCCACTACCAGAAGGGGGAACATCCGGTCAGCCCGTTGACGGCTATCGCACGGGCTACGACGGCTGGGATCCTCGTATGCGCATTACTTCCTATGACTGACGTATGGCAGCTTGATCTTCAACGGCTTCAGGCGGCTCATGGCTCACGACTTACGGCAGAGTTGTTAGGATAGGACGAGCTGATGTGCAGGGCGATTTTCTGTGCCGTGACCAAGTTACATAGGTTTACACAGAGACATACAGAGACCATGCAGCATCCCTCTGGGGTCCTTCTTCGCTGCAGACCCTTTCGAGCGCGAAGATTTTTTGTATACCCGCCGGTCTGGATCTCGGCATCTTGCAGCGGCGAGGGATCTTTGCACCTGCCAGTGCCCGAATCCGAGTACCAAGAAGCGACCGGGTGTATACAAGAGTGGCACTGCGTGGAGCCGTCGCACATCTTGGAAACCTCGGTCTCCATACCCGGAACCTTCTCAAGATGTCCCTTGAATGCCCAGGACCCTTGGGCCGCCTCCGCAAGCGGATCAGCGCTTTGCCCACGTGGCCCTGGCACGCATCGCACGGGTCTCGAACTTTGCCAAAGAGGACGAGGCAATCATGCTTCAGCTCGCAAGCATGCCGGCATGTGACTAAACCTTGAGGCCTTTCACCACCAAAGCGCGGACTCTTTTAGGGCCTCCTCGGTGCGCAGTGCCGAGAGGGCGGCGGTCTCCGAGTCGCTCAAGCCCTCGGCCCGGGCCCTGGCGGCCGCAGCGACAGATGGAGGAAAGTCGAGAATCCAAGAATCCCAGAATCCAATCGCCAACACACTCGGGCAATAGAACATGAAACCTACCTTGATGCAATGCCAGGTCTTGTCAATTCAACGCGCCGCAATGCATGATATGTAGCATGCACCGGTGGCGACTCGGGGCCTCTGGAGCAGTCGCTCCAAGCGCTCCTCCTTGCTCAGCTGTGCCTGCAGGCAGGGAACCCAGACCAGACCAAAGGGCGGTGCGAGACGTCGCTCCGCGTCGCTCCGCGGCTTCCCGTTCCCTGCAGTGCTGGGTTCGACAGAGGCGCTTCTTTAGCCCAATGCTCCAGGCCTTCGCGGCCTTGGGAACTGGCTCCTGCAGACTTTAGATCAATCCTTGAAACAAGCTGCAGCAACAAAACGCGCGCGCGCGCGCGCGCGCAGGTGACCTTAGGCCGCCTTAGGCCCAGTCCAGAAGCTGATGGACCTTGGCATCTGCCTGGGCCGGCGATCCGTCGGCCACATCAGCCTAACAAAGGAAGGAGGCAGGGCTGGGCAAGAGGCTCATGCCATCGAAGGTCTGCCTCGAAGCCCTTTCGGAGCCTTTCGTTGTGTAAAGCCGATGGGTGGAGCGGAAGAGATGGTTGAAAGTGAGGTCAGACTGCCGGCGATCCGTCGGCCGCAAGGAGATGCTCTACGACGAGAACCCAAAGCCTAGACAACCTTAAGTTTAAAAACCCAAATCAGAAACAACCTCACAACCAAAGCCTTAACGACCCTCAAGCCTAATTTCTGATCGTGCTAAACAACCCTAAACTCCGATCCTAAAGAACCCCAAACCCTGATGCCTGAACGACCATGAACCCTGAACAAGCCCAAACCCTAATCCCGAAACGACCCTCAACGCTGAACTCTGACTATCCCTGAGCCCTACACCACTCTGAACCCCTGAACCCCGTAGACTAAACGACCCTCAACCCCCAACCCTGAATCCCCTGAACGCGAAGATGCTGAACCCAAAAAACCTAAAATCCAAACCCCAAAGCGGAAACAACCCCAAACAGCCCTAAACCCCAAAACCCCAAACCGTGTCAAGCGTGCACCCTGCCCAAAGATGTGCACCGGACCGAGTCGATGCGAAATGGACCCAGCCCCTTTTTCGAGTGGTTACTGCATGCAGCAACACTGGCTCCTGTCAATCACAGCCACTGTTTCATGGTCTTTGCATGTCTTCGCCATGCAAAACCTCTAATGGTAGGCGTCACCACAATGCCGGATCTCGACAAAGCTACAGCATCCCGAAGTGTCCGCAAAATTACGTACAGCGTATGCCTGTCGAGTCGGCGAGGGAAGCTCAGAATCGGAAAACGACCCGAATTGCGCGAGCGCTCGCGGGCTACGTGCAGACTGCAAAAGGCAAGCCCCAGGTCAAAGATCTACGTCCAGCTGAATCTAGCTTCTGCCAGTTTGCCAAAGTTGGCATGCAAGGCTGAAACACTGAAAGGCTTAGCGCCAGGGTTGCACAACAGAAAATGCCTCTTTGCACACAGGCTGTTTCGCCTGGGGATCAGAGGCTTTGCAGAATTTGATTTGGCCAATGCATCACAAATTTGTAGATCTGGATGTTGCTACCAACCTCAGCGATTGGAGCTTCGCAAGGCCTTCTTCATAGATGATTTTGTCAGATCTGTGTGGTGAGGTGCTGCAGGCCTCAGGAGGCGTGCAGGCAAACTCGGGCCAAGAGACATATTGAAGACAGCCAGTCAGGAGTCACAGACCATGAAGCACACACCGGCACGAGTACGGTGACGACGGGGACCCGACGGGGACCCGACGGGGACCCGACGGGGACGGGGCCGACGGGGCCCGGACCAGGTTCTGGCCCTTGGGCACGTCCAGAGCCAGGCCGGGGTCCGTCAGCCACTGCAGCTGGAAGCCTCGCGGAGGCGGCGAAGGTGGGGAACTGGTGGGAACTGAAAGGAGCTGAAGCCCTGGGCTTCCGAAAGACAAGTGGCTGATCTTGTCGGGGCTCTGATGCACGATCCACTTCCTGAGTCACCCCCCCCCTTGTGAAGAAGGGCAAGGGGACTTCACCGCACACAGCCTCGACCGGAACTCCCCAAGCCAATTGATTCTCAGGGGCTGGTCTTTCCGGGACCGCTCATTGATGCTGCAGGTCCACAGCTGCAGGTAGTTCCTCCGAGCACTTCGGGAGAGTTTGCGGTTGAAAGGAAAATCTGCGAGTGCGAGGGAATTAGGCGTTTAGATCCGAACCCTTTGTGTTGGGAGACGTGCTCACCTTTTCCTGCGAGCTCCTCTGCCGGAACTGATGCCGTAGCACAGTCTAGCACCGTGGAAAGGAATAGCGTCATCTGACTGTGCCGGAGACAGGACTATGGCCGTCGCCGCCCGGCGATGCGCAGAGCCCAAAGGAAACATAAAACGATGTCTCAGCGAGATTCATGCAACTGTGACGATGCTCGGCATACACCCTGGATGGGAGATCCCCGACTCCTGCCCTCCCCGAGCTTCATCAAAAGATCATAACTCGAGTCTACCGCGGGACACATAAGCTGCGGAACTCTGCAGCAAAGATTCATCGGTGAGTCCAGTCCGGCAGACTTCCGCCAATCTGCATGGTCGTGAACATCTAAGCCTTCGGCTGCTCAAGACGGGCTCAAGCCAGAACTGTTTCAATGCTCCTCTCACGCAGACTACCTCGGAAACCTAACGGAGTGGTTGTGGGGTGATGTTGCCCGATGGAGATGGTTGCAACTGTTGCAACGGACATGCGATGATCCCGCGAACTAAGACGACTTCGGGCGGGTCGTGCTGGGGACATCCACGATCTCTTGGAAAGACCATCTACCCGATGTGCAGATGTGCGGTCTTGCAGCTCAGATCTGAGAAGTCGGGAACTCAAAAGCCGCTGTGTGACTCTCAACACTGTTATCGAAGCCTTCCAGGGCCCCTGCAAAGGACCATCATAGCTTACATGGGAAGTCCAAACTCGGACTCAGCACACGCGCTCACTCCTCTTAGTCTTAGTCAGGAGGCACTTGTCTGTTCCAGCCAAGCGGAAAGAAGTCACCGATTCCGAAGGGAAGTCGCCTTTCCGATAGCCGGCAATCGCTTCGGGCTTGGGCTTGGGCTTGGCTTTCACTCTTTCTTATCCCAGAAGACAAGGCCGGAATCTTGGCCAAACTCGGCTCCGTCTCTGAAGCCAGAAGTCGATGCGGAGGATGCTTGTTCCGAGCCGCGGATGTGAAAGATCTTCCAGTAGCCCCCTGGCTCCTCCGAGCGGGCCTGGATCGTGTGATTCAGCTTTGGGGATCTGGCCTTCAGGTCGAGAAGTCTCAGACAGGCGACCGTCAACAAGGGCGTGCCTTGAAAAGAATGGGCTTCTTGTTGAGCTTACCACTGCCCGTTCCAAGCAGAATCTACTTGAAGGAGTGCCAGCGAGTGTCTGTCTCTTCTCATGCAGCTGCCAGACCACATGTGCCGACAGTGTCATGTTGGGAGGCGGAATCACAACCGCTGCTTCGAAGGCCCCGGAAGACGAAATCGAAACCTGCAGTCTGGGTCGAAGAGCCTCCCAGCTCACCCAGCAGTCTTGACAGCCACACTCGTTCAGTTTGATGATCGCTCCTAGGCAGGGGCAAAAGATCTCTCAGACCCGAGGGCTGGAGAAGAAATGCTGGCAGGAAAGGTATACAGGATGCTGGCAGCGAGACTGTGGAGAACCGACACATGCCACGAAGCAAGACAGCCAAGACCACGATCCTGCCCTTCAGCACTCCACAAAACCTTGTGCCGAGATGCCATCTTCGGGTTCCGACACTCCAATGCACTTGCCCTGGGAGGCACAGAGACAAAAGGCACCCGACTTCGGGCTGAGACGGCGGAGCCGCCGGCCTTGAAAGAGATCGTGCCAGAGAAAGCCGTTGTCTCCACGCCTGAGCTTCACGATGCTTCACTGGACAAGCTCAAGAACCGTCGTTGCCGGTATACGAGACTCAATACAAGACGACCCACGTCGCATCGAAACAGCCCTCACCCGAACCGACCAGGGCTTTCACGCAGGCCCGCAGGAGGGATCTGAGCTCCGTTTAGGTTTTGCAGTTTCGGCCTGTTTTGTCTTATGCCAGGATGCTGCTCAGCCTCTCATAAGTCGCGAAATGGTACAAGTCCTGCACTAAAAAAGCCAGACTCTTGTCAGCATGTTTCCTGGCACTGTTGCCGCAGTCACAAACCGTGCGACCGCATGGAGCGAAAACTTCACTCGAACCTTCCGCAAAGACCGTCGATAGCTTGAAGAGGCCACGGAGCAACAGCCGAGCATTTCGCGAGAGAGAGAGAGAGAGGGAGAGACAGACATATTGAGAAAAACAGCCATGACACATGAATGGGCTTGGGGAGTTGATGATCCTACGTCCTTGCGGAGGCACGGTTTGTTCCCAGTTGCCAGTTCTCGCCTCTCTGCTAGTTTCGAGGCTCAGCCACAGTCCCGAACGCAAGACAAGACAAGCTTCTCTGCACTCGAAGCAAAAGTCCTGACTCGCATCGTATCCCTTGTACTGCTGGCAGAGGCCCTTGTCCTGAAGCAAGGCAGGTCTAAGGTACAGCTGCGCAGAACTCACGAACCATCCATTCTGGTGTTTGCATTCCACTAAGATGTCCTTAACCCGACACTACCGTCTGAGCACTGCCAACTATGCTTGGTGCGGAAGCCTCAACAACTAGTACTACTACTACTACTACTACTACTACTACTACTACTACTACTATTACTACTACTACTTGCATATATATATATATATGAATATACTTATATATGCCTGTGTATATGTATACATGACAGAAAATATGTATGTATGTATATATATATATACATATAAATATATACAGGCAGTCACTTTCAATCGGCTGGCATGGGATTAAAGAGCATAGTCTATGTGCCGTCCTGATTGCGAAACAGGAAGAAAGTGAACCTCCTTGTCAACGTCACAAACTCAAGGACTCAAAAGATTTCAAAAAAATCCTAGAGACCACTGACGTCCTTTGCAATGTTCGCCCTCAGCCAGCACTTGAAAGGAAAATAACCTGGGTTTCTGTCGCTTCGCTGACAAACTGCGACGCTCTGCATAGGGACCTCATGTCATGTTTGAGCATGCTGCCTGCCCGCCAGCTTTGATTCTAGATTGTTGAGGGCATGAAGGTGCGGCATCGGGAGGGCAGAGCTTCCACATGCACCACGGTCGTCAAGGCCTCTCGCTCTTTGCACCTCGTTTTGGCTCGAGCAGCGGTAGAAAATGACAAAGCCGTGGCAGTCCTCGTACCTGGGAACGCAAGCAAGTGTCGGAGCAACTCTCGAGACTGGACTCACAGCCAAAGCTGGCCGAGGAACTTGTTGCACTGCATCGCACACTGGTCGGCGGTCTTTACGACGACGAGGACCTGTGAAAGCCTGGCTGCCCGCCATGCACACCAAGGAGACCAATGAGTAGCAACCTAATGACCCTCCGTATTTTCTCTATGTCCCTGCTTCAGTTCCTTCAGGCGTCTAAATCAAGGTTCTGGCTTCACGCCAGCCCCTTTCACCGACGAGCAGCCCGGCCGATGTGCCGCCACGATGGTCGAAGCCTGGGTGATTATCGGTGTCCAACTGTGAATTAGGCTTGCTGCTCATGAAGGAAGGCTTCGATCAAAATTCGATGAGTTGAACAGTGCCATGGGGGAACCCACGCCACTTGATCCAGCTGTCTGCCATGTAGAGCGCGCCTTCAACATATAGTAAAGCCTGCTGGCCCTGCGCACGTGTGCGAAAACAAAGGTCTCAATGACAAGAAGCAATTCACGTGGGCGAACTCAGTGTAGCCTCGCAGCAGCTGCATCAGCTTTGTGCGAAAGGCTTTGTGCAGACACCCCTCGCGCCTGCGACGATGTGCAGGTTGTCCACCTCGCCCTCGCAGCACATGGGGGACGCGCATGCGGATGCGCCGGGGCGTGGCTGCTGTGCTCTCTGGACTTCCAAGCCTTGGGTTCTGCCCTCTAACCTGGGATCCCCAACAAGAGCAAGCTCCGGAAACCCCTAGCAGCTACTAGCAGCCCCAGCATGGAAGTGAGAGCTGACGGCCTGACACGAGCAGCCGTTGCAACAAGCATGTGTTGAGTTGAAGCCTTGAAGATCAGTCCGTCAAGGGGCGATCTGACCTGCCAGGGCATGGCAAGGAAGTCTCTTCACGGGGGTCGCGAATACAAACTCGAGAGGCTTCTGCGGTATGTTTTGACAGAAAGATTCAGCGGCGAGGTTGTTTGTGGTTGCGTGCATCAACAGGCCGTGAGGCCATGCAGTGCCGTCTACCAGCTCTTAGCCTTACTGTCCGCAGTCCACCTGAAGCATTGAGGTGACGTTCACTTCCCGAAGGCCTCTCCGTCCGTCTCCGAGCTGGAGGGCCTCTGTCCTTCGCACACCGCACCGGCACCGCGGCTCCGCCACAAAGACGGGAGACGGACAGAGCGGGCCTCGGAGGCCAAGGCCAAGGCCGCCGCAAAGGAAGCAAAGGCCGCCCAAAGCGACGGCGGCGATGGCCTGGCGAAGGCGCCGCTATGCGCCGCAGGCCTCTCTTGCGTGCAGGCCCGGGCAGGGCAGGGGCGTCTCTTGCGTCGCCTTCGCCAAGGGCCGTGCAGGCAGGAGCCCGTGAGCTGCCGGGCCTCAGAGGGCTTGCGCGTCGACTTTGCTTAGCCTTTTTAAGCAGATTTGCGGGCCAACCCTGCACTGATCCTGCCCACTATCCTTCCGAGCCTTTCCATTTCTGCCACTCTGCACTTTCAAGATTGCCCGCCTTCGCAGGGTGGTGATGCCAGCGGCTCTGCTTCCTTCCAGGGTGAGACTTCGTCCTTTACTACTGCCAGCGACTTTGTGGCATCCTGACTGCAACTGGCCTCGCAAGGCCCAGTCAGCGCTTGCCGCGAGTCCAACACTTCCGGCTGTGATGGCGGCATTGCAGAGCCCGGAAGAAAGGGCATAGCACTGCAGGAACTGAAAAGGGCGTTGCTCAACCATCCGTGCAATCAGAGCTGGTTGGGGGACCGGGGGAGAGCCTGTCGACCCTGTTGTGCCCAGACATTTGGAGTTAGGTGCCCTCCCAATGTTAGGCAATGGCGGGTGGGGCGATGTGACGTTAAGATACCTTAAGATGCAAAATGTCAGACGGCCGATCACCGCAGGCATGCACCGAAAGACTCCCTTCCACCCAAACCCGCTTTGAGGAAAGCCAAGTGCAAGGCTGAAGCAGTCCGAAATCCTTTGGCCTGAGGCCTGAGCTAGCTAAAACATGGTCCGCAGCTTTCGAAGCCCAACCGAAGCCTCGGCGGGTGCCTCCGTGAGCCACTTGAGCCTCGGTGACTTCGAGCCGGAAGCGGCGATGTTGCTCTGGGCAGGAGGCATCTCTATGAAAGTGCTCCCTCCTTGGATGAAAAATGGAAGCCCAAGGAAGCTGGGACAGCTAGGCAAAGCCTCTTGGGCCGCAAAACAGACACCTTGGGCAGCGGCAAGAGGCCCTGGAGCTTGTTCGCTTTTGGAGCTTGCAAAGCCGGCGCAACACCTGTGTAGAAAACGCTTGGAGGCTTTGCTGGCGTCTCTGAGCTTCAAGCTTTTCCAAGATATCAGTTTTGCATAGGCGTTCGGCGGACACCTCGAACCTGGGAATGATGCGGGGGGGGGGGGGGGGGGGGCTGTGAAGATCGGCTTGAATTCCATCTAAAGAAACCTTTCCAAACATCTCTCTCCCATAAGCTCTTTCCAACCCGAGAAAGCAGAGCCTTGGCTCTGATAGGGGCACTCCTGGTGTTCCAACTGAGCATTCAAAAAAGCCTGCATCCCCTTGCCACATCTCGGAGAGAAAAGTCCTGAGTCCGCCAGTCCTTCTCGTGGGGCCGCACGCGCAGAAATGGAAACCCGACGGGCCCGAAAGGGGGGAGCCAAGTCTTCACAAAAGAGAAGACAAGCGCCGGTATGGCACAGCAAGGGACCAGGCACCGCCCGACGAAATCCAGCAGAGCAACGGGCCGCAAAATCTCCGGCTGTTTCTAAGCAATCACAACAACCACAACAACGAGCGCATCGAGCGCATCGAGCGCCAGGGCCGCCGCCTCAAACCAAAGTAGATGCACATCGCAGGACCGCAGGAAATCGGAGACAGTCTGGGACAGCTGAGGAACAAAGACCAATTTGGGACGAACGCCATCCAGCAAGGATGCGGGTGGCGGTGGCGCCCACTGTCTTCGTACACCGAGCGTGCGGAGACCAGGCGTGCGGTCCGGTGGAGCGGCGCGTGCGCGAGCGCCTGGACGCGGCTGCCAGAACAACGAGGATTGCCTCGCCCACCTGCTATGACGATTTGGGGTCGCTTATAAGTTTCCCGAATACGAGCTTGCAATGCAGGTCAGGAACTGGGAAGACGCGGATACGATCACCAGAGCCCCACGACCCCTGGACCCGCAACACCCAAAAAGACACTTCTCCTGCCTTTGGCTGCATCCGGATTTGCGCAAGCCTTGCAGCAGCTGGGGAACGGCTTCGTCGCAACGGCCCTTCTTGCAAGTTGTAACCGCAAACCGCCTACGAGCGGAGCTCTTCCCTGCCTTGCAGAGGCAGACGAAGTTGAAATTCTGCTTCCTCGGCTGCAGCATGCTGTCTCTGTGTTTTTGTTGTTACGGATGAGGCAGCTTGACGATAGTCGCATGCGCAGAGAACTGAGGTTTGCGCAGATATCTTCGCCGTGCAGGGCGCGCAAGATCACACCAGGGCTTTCCGATGTAGCTTATGGTCAGCTCCTGCCAGGATGTCTCCGGCTGGAGGCATTTGAGCAATGGAGATTTCCACGTTCGAAACAACTTCTTGTTAAGGTTCGACAGGTGCCAGCTGAAGCCAAGAATGGGAACGGACAGACAGGAGTGCAAAGATAGCATTTGGGTAGGTCGGTATAGGCAGGCAGGCAGTGCCTGAAATCAGCGTACTGGTAGGAGCAAAGTTGTCGGGTCAAGAAGGGGCATTGGGAGATGGAGAAAACAGGATGACACAACACCCCCTCGTGCGCCTCGCCGGAGCTCACCGGGCGTGTCGCGCGCAGCACCAGGCCTTTGGAGGCACTCCTTGGGAAGAACGCACACACACAGACAGCCGAGTCTTGAGATCTTGCAAAAGTGGGGGCAGTGGCCACGGGCTTTGCCTCTCCGCTTCTATATGGGGAGATCTCGAATGCACCGCCCGGGTTTTGGGGCTGCGCTCGTCGCTGTGACCCCTGCCACACCGGCAAAAGAGCGAAGCGCTCTGCTTTTGTTTAAGTCGACGGGGGCTTTCTTGTCCATGTGGAAAACGGACACGATAACCGTCACAGACGCTCTGGCAGAGAAAGGTCTGCGCGCCGAGTGGCCAGGTCCAAGTCGCATTCGAGAGCCCAGCACAGCAATGATTGCAGAAGGACACCTCCAAGGACGGTTTCCCGACTTTCGGGCTGAGGCGAAGTTGAGGGCACCAGGCCTGGTGAAAGAGCGCGTCCCCTGCAGCAGGCGGCCGCGACTCCAGATCAACCACCTCCCAGAATACTTGGAATCAGAGCTTTCAGAAGGAAAACAAGCTGATGAAATTTTAAGAACTCGAGCACATGTCCCTTACCGAACTGGCTCTGCAGGTATGAGTTGGGAGTGGCCGGGCCCCAGTATTAGTGGACACAAACAGACCTACAAAGAAAACGCACAAGCAAAACTGAATCATCTTTGCGTGGTGTGTGATCATGCAGCACCCATGTACGTAGTCTCTTCATCCGAAGATACGATCTTATAGCCATATCCAAGCATATCTCTCCTTCCTATCTTCTTGTCTTAATGCCACTCAAGCGTGTCTCCTTTTCCTCTGCAGCTGTCTGCAAGATACCGGGTGCCGGATACTGAATTCAGGCAAACATCCTGGAGGCTAGAGCTTAAGCAATTTCTTGTAGTTTCAGCTAAGCCAAGCTCTCTGGAGCTAGGTCAAAAGTCTGCTGGCGGAGCCTTTCTGGAGTCATGTGTGATTGTGTGCACTCCTGTGTGCGCATTTTTTGAGCTAGTTTGGCGACGATTGTAGCAAAACAATTGCATTCGAAAATGAGAGGCCAGACACAGCTGCCCCAGAGATGGGGGAGCTGTGAGGTGGCCTGACCCGGCAAGGGCCGGCCTCAGGCAGGGGCTCGGCTGGGAGACTGGACCAGGAAAACTTGTTTGGCCAGAAGTTTCTGGTGTTTTCTTTTGTGCCTGTGTCTTCTAGTTTGTCTCTTTTTTGTGTGCTGTTGTTTGTGTTTTTTTCTTGTACCTGCGTTTGCTCGTCTGTGGTTTTGCTTGTGCTTTTTCTCGTGCTATTTTTGTGTTTGTGGTTGCTAGGTTGTGCCCTTTTTTGTGCTTTTTCGTGCTATGTGTGTGGGTATGTTTGTGCTTTTCCGTTTGTGTTTCTTCCATGTGCTTTTTGTCTTTTCTGTATTGGAAAACATGTTTGCTAGCGGTGCTTTTTTTGCTTGCAAGTTTGCTGGTTTGTGGTTTTGTTGTGCTTTCATGTTTTCTAGTCGCCTGGGCATTCAAGTTTGGTCTCCGAGTTGCTCTGTCTGTCTTTGAGCCCAGCGTAGGCCAGCCGGCAGGCTGTGTGTACTCTCCGTCCAGCCTTGAGATAGTCGGCCTAGCTGGCTCCTAGACATTTTTTGGCTTGGCCCTGAAAATGGCATTGCCACCCATGTCTATGACTAGGAGGCCAGGATTATGGTGCATTATTGAAACCCATCTATGCAATCAAGCCGCTTTACTAAGATATGAGATATGGATATGGTACAGAGTATAGAGGACAGATAACAGTATAAGACTTGTAGACTTATAGTCATATAATCAACATACATGTTGTTCTCAAATTTGCAAGTTAGTGCAGATCGAAGCATCATGAAGCATCTGTTCTGCAGCCTTGATTTGGATCATGCCTTAAGTTCTGGCTGGGGCCATGAGCTATTGCCCTCTTAAAATGCCAACCTAAAACCTAATGCCAGGCATGGTCGGCCATAAAGCCATAGGCTACGGGCTGGTACTGACCCATACGGGGGCCGGCATGGCAGAGGGTGTTTGGCTTGGGTTAAGGCAGAAGGATGTGCCGGGCAGCTGTTTCTCTGGTCCCTGTGCGAAGCTTTTGAACTGTTACTGGGGCCCGGCCACTCCCAAGGTATGAGTTTCAAAGTGAAGGCACGCACCAACAACGAGTGTCGACGAGCACAGCGTTCGCCTGGAAGCCGTTGCGTGCCACGCGGGCTGCAACTTCGTCTATGCCTCTGGCAGGAGCTTCGAGAGCGCCCGGCGGTTGAAGGCTTTGAAGGGTCAAGATGTCAGGCAGTGGGATCCCCAGATTTTTCGCCCTCCCTGGAAATCCAGCATCGCCCTTGTGCAGCAGAGGCACGATGGGCCAAAGCGGGCTCACCAAGGTGTTCCTCGGATGACGTCGGAGGTCGCTATTCTGAGCGGTCGTTGCTTCGCTTCTCATCCGCTCCACCGAACACTAAGAGGCAGGCTGAAGCTTAGCCCAAAACCCCACAGCCGAGCAGAGGTGCTGCCGTCAGCATCGCCAGCTCCGACGGCGATCCGGCGGCTACATCCTCGCCACCGCAAAGCTCCTCCATCCGCTTGCGTCTGCTGCAACATGTGGTTTTTGGGAACCTCTTGACCTCTGATGGTTTCACTCCACCCTGGACTGCATGGACTCAAGCCAGGCGTGCCCAGAGCGCGCAGAGCGAGTTCGCACCTCTGCCGCTGCAGCGTCGGTTTTTCGGAACAAACCCAAACCGTAACCGCGTAGCCCTGGACATGCGACATGGGAGCAGTTTCGGATTTCGACGCGGAAGCTTTTGTCTCTTTCCCTCCGCAAGCCTCTGATGGGCCGATTTCTCGTAAGCCGTGAGGGTGTGAAACCATTCCGGGTCACCCCAGAATCCATCACTTTCGCGATTCCACCAGCTTAGCTGGCTGAGATTTGTCAGTCTTCGGCACATGGGGCCGCGCTGCGCTAAGAGTCAGGCTGGAACGCGTCGATCAGCACAGGCCCTTTCAGAGGATGTCCAAAGAGTTCAAACGGGGATCTGACTCGCAGACACTTTGCAACCCTCAAGCCGTCAGAAGTTACAAAGCTCTGTTGCCATCCGTGGCTTGGATTCTGCGTTCCGCCTGCCCCGGGCTGACCCATCTGCCCAAGTAAGGGCCCTTCGGTCCAGAGGCACCCCGTTAGGCCAACCGCAAGCAATGCACTGAATCCCAAACGTCACGAAATACGAAGCAGTCGGGGAGATGTTCTGCCGCCACCTGTCCGTCTCCGGCCCCTTGCAAGTGAGAGCGCCTTTGTGATGCAAGCTGTACTTGAGCGAAGGAGTCGAGGAGCCCTCGCGTTGTCGATGCCCTGTTCAGCCCGCTTCAGCTATTCGTGCTATGTTCGGCAAGTACTCCTGAACCCTTTCGCTGCGACATGCATTCCGATGGCTGAGGCTCTCGTGCTTGACTTGAAAAGCGATTCAAAAAAAGTGAACTCACGCGGAGGGCCCAATGCCTTCTCTAAGCGAAGGCTGTGTCCACACGGACTCTGCCCACCACATTGGGATTTAAACAATACAACAAATGCATGCCTTCTACGGTTTGAGACTTTCTCTCGAAGCCTCCGATACATGAAAACTTCGCGAGAGGATCCCAAAAATGAAACCGCTCACAAGTCGCCAGAGCCGCTATGGCAAGTGGTGGTCCTCGGCTCTGGTCTAAATCCTTAGAGAAGCCTGACGAGGACCCTCGTTCAATGCACAGACAGCGACCTGTTGCGAAGTGGACGCTAGCTTGTGTCATCTTGTGTCTTGGCAGGTGGCTCACCGTCCCCCCGTCTCAAGGAGCGTCCCTTCAAAGTCCCTTCCAAGCCCTACGGGACCCACGCCAGAAACTCTAGGAAACCCCAGCTCGCAACCACGGTGCATGTAATGGGTCGTCTGCTGCCAACATGGGTCTGGTCGTTGTCGGTTGCACTTCTCCGGAATTGCCTCAAAGTACGTCGCGGAAGCTTGCCGAAATTGCGTCAGGGCGCCATCCGACGCACGAAGTGGCCTTCCTGCAAATCCCTTCGCTTCCCCGCCGAGCTGCTTGGGTCGTGGACAAAGGTTGTGGCCTGCACTCGCTGCTGACTAGGTCATCTCGACTACTTGTACAACCTTTGTGAGCTATGGTGCACATGTCGTGGCAACAGCCCCTTCGATGACGCACTTCCCCAGCCTAGACTTGGCACTCAACTTTCGGGCACGGTTTGACTTTCTTCCTGCTGGCTTTGCCATGGCAAAGCATCAGATTCTTTCTCGTGTTCAAGTCACGGAGATTTAGGCTATCGCTGGGCTGGTCAGGTTGACTGAACGGGTTTCTTCCAGCATTTGGCTCGTGAAGCCAACAGGAATGGGTGCCTTGATGTGCCGGAAGGCAGAGTGATCGAAGACCTCCTGAATGCCTGTCGGCCAAGATGGAATGCAGCAGCCTTTGTTCAGCCCTTTCACTCACTGCCTGCGGCCTGTCGATCCTCCCTGATGGCGCCGCACTGCCGTCTCGCAAGTGTCCCTCGCCGCCCTCTTCCTAGAGCTCCCCCTAAGAAACCCCAAGTCAGACGACCCGCCGGATCACTCTGCGAGGCCACGGTGCTGGAGATCTTCCGCGCTTCCGGCGACTGCGGCTCCGTCAGCTCCATTGTCTCCTCGTGCAAAGCGGAAGGCTCGGCTCCAGTGCCGCAGAGCGAGGGACATTCGCACGTTTCAAGACCCGTTCATGAGGAGGCTGAAACCCAAGAGACTGGAACCTCCTTGTCGTCGCCCCGGAGGATGTGCAAGACCTCCTCGAAGAGCACCTCCACCTGCTTCGACAAGGCTCCCTGCCCTCGGCCCCGGCGCGGCCCCGGTGCGGCCCTTGCCTTGGTCTCCATCCGCCAAATGTCGATGGCCTTGGCATGGCCTTTCAGCCGCGAGGCGCCGTCGATGAATTCGTGGAGCCTCGGCCGCTCGGCAGCGCCGCAAGGCAGCGCCGCTCTGCAGCTACTGTAGCTTGGGCTCTTCATCTCCTGATCGGGTGTGCTACCAGCGGAAAACCTGATCTCACCAGGCTGCGTGATCTGACCATCACCATTGTCCTGCAACAGCAGCAAAGCCAAGGGCAACTCCAAACTGCTGCCAGGAAGACTCAGACTCGCAACTCGCATCAGCGGTGTCCAGGAACTCAAAGAGGGACAAGAGGTCGTGGTACTCGAGCCTGGGCTGGCAAGGTCCGCAGCAAACACCCCCAGAAGCCGCTGCTTCCAAAGCCGTAACCACCCTCCCTGTAACAAAGACTTCCCGGAAAACTGCTGCAGGACCTGCATCTCCCGTAGAGTGTCTGAACCTCCAGACCGAAAGGGGAAAAAGGCCGTCGACCATCCCAGCAAGCCTTTCGCAGATGCCTGCCAACACTCGTAATCTGCCCAGCAGCTCTAGCTGGCTCATCCAAAACCTGGACAAACACCACAGAAGTCTTGATAGGATCTTGCATCACATCAGTGCGTGGCCCAACAGCCCCCTGAATCGAGACAGGGTCAAAGTGACGTGTGGAATGTTAAGCACTGTTAAAGACAAATGTGATACATTGGGCATGGCAGCGAGAAAGAAAGACGGAACGAGGACAGTTCTCAGTGCATTTGTGTATGCGTAGCTTTGTGCAATTCCCCTGTACCGCCGACGACTACTGCGGCTAGCAAGCGGAGACAGGCACTCCATCCCCGAAGCTGAAAACGTCCTATGATTCATCCCAAACATGCAAAGCCCCAGAGCAAGCCTCAGCTTCGGTGACTTCACCAACTTCCTTGGCACAGCGCTTCGAAGGGCTCCGGTCTTGTGTCCGGCTCAGGGAGCGTCGCTGCTGATTCTCAGTGTATCGCAAACCCATTCAGAACAAGGGATCAACGGAGTACCCTTAGGGCCCGAGGAGAAGCTTCAGCAGGCATCAGGACGCGGACGGCGCCGTCGAAAGCCATCATTCAAAACGAATCGCAGATGCAAGAGCGGGAGACCATACCGTACAGCACTCGAAGCAGGATCGGATGTCGTGTTGCTTACGTCCAGATGCAGAGAAAACTCATGAAAGCGTCCGATGCGTTCGACCTTCTAACTAACTGGTCTTGCCTTCCTGTACAAGCTATTCAGACACCGAACCTTGAAGCAGCAAACGACAACCGGTCGTCCGCACAGAGGTCCGTCGGGACAGATGATCACGAAGGTTCCAGGCTAGGGCGGGCAAGTCTCGAAAACTCGTCGAAGTTTATGGCACCATCACCCGACGAGTCCATGGTTGCAAAGAGCTTCTTCACTTTGCGGTGGTACCTTCGAAGAGACCCGGAAGGACTTACACATGGTGCATTGTGAGGAACCGGCGAGAGCTCTTTGCAGCAGTCCCTCTCAGGCGGTTGCATGGCGATGTCCTTCTCCTTCTGCTTGAACGCGAGGTCTTCGTCAGAGCTCGCGGTCCTAAGCTCCCAACTCACTGAGGTACTGTAGAAGGTACAAGCACAGGATTCCGTCGTAATCTGATCTCGCCGAGTGGCTTCATGGTCTGCTGAACGAAGACGGCATTCACCACATTCAACACCTTCCGGGCCGGGCCGCGGGAGGGGAGGGCGCTGAGGGCGCTTCGAAGTGCCCGGGCCCAGGCCCAGTGCAGGCCCTTTAAGCTTCAAGAGAAGGACGTGGACTTTTCTTCTCTTGGAGCCCAGGTGCCGCGAAGCCCAGGACGCAGCGGTAGAGGAGGAAGAAGATGGAGAACCACTCGCTGACCTGTGAAGAGGGCTGTCTTCAGTGCCAGCGATCACGGCCCTTCATGTGACACGACTCACAAGCTTCACGCTTCTAGGTGCAAACCTCTCCGGAAAGGAAGCCGCAACTCACAGGTCGTGGGCTGAGTGCAGTGTCGTTCTCCCTACTGCAGACGGAACCCAGCCTCCCCGAAGTCCTTAGGCAACCTCCGCAAAACAAAAACCCCCTCGATGTTCCCATACTTCCCTCTCCAAGTCCGGCACATGCTCCACCAGCACGCGGCAGGGTGGGCTCCAGTTCGCAAAGAGTATCTCAAACCTTCCGCGATGGATCAGCTCCAAAACGAAAAAAAATCTGGGCCCCATGAGATGCATGTGTGGCGCAGGGAGGTTCTGCAGAGTTTTTTGGGGAACAGCTCGAAGTCGACTTCAGGAGTGATCCAAGGCACATGGAGAGGAAGGTCCGGCTAAAGGTGCCTGGCAGTCAGAATCACAAGAAAGGGCGACGTGGTCGCACACTTGCCAATGCTACTGCTTCTGGCCAGTTGATACTGTCCTTACCCTTCTTCATGCGAACATAACGGTGTGCTATTCTTCCGACTTTCTGACTAGAGTTATTGGTGCTGCTAGATACTGCTCATGTTCTTTTTGCTGCTAGTCGTATAGCTGCTGTGGTTGAGCTACTCGTTGTTGTTGCTCTTTGTAGTGCTATTGCCGCTGCGCATGCACTATTCCGACTGTTGCCGACAACTACGATTTTGCAATTCTTAATTGCTACTAGTGCATTACTGGTACGAAAAAGCTTCCCGGTACCACCTCTTATTGCAT